CCCCCCATCCCCGGAGCCCCCTCCCCCTCCGCCGCGGGCCCCCCCGTTCCCGGGCGCACTCACGGCCGTAGAGCGCGATGGCGGCGCTGTCGGGGCCGGTTCGGACCTCTAGGCGCAGCGGCTGCTGCTCCTGGTGCCGCTGGATCTCCCCGTTCGCGTCCCCGACCGTGAGGAGCCGCACGCCGGGGAACACCGACACCGCGGCCATCTTGGACCGCGCCGCGCCCCGCCCACGCGGGGACACGCCCCCCCGCGCCGCGCTCCGCCCCCCGCCCCCGCGGGGACACGCCCCCTCTGGGAAAAGGACGCGCTCCCGCCGCGGGACACGCCCCCCCCTCCGGCTGGGGACACGCCCCCCTGCTCCAAAGACACGCCCCCCCCCGCGGCTTCGGGACGCGCCCACATCGGTCCTGGACACGCCCATCCCGAGCGGGGACACGCCCCCTCTGCCCCGCGATAACACACGCCCGGCGCGGGGACACGCCCACAAAGTGGGCGGGGACTGCTCGGCAGCGCCCCCTGGCGGGCGCGCGGGGCCACGGGGAACGGGATAACACTGGGAACACTGGGAACACTGGGAGAACTGGGAACACTGGGGACACTGGGAACGGGACGCAGGGAAAGGCCAGGCCCCCGCGCGCGGGTGGCCGCGACGGTGCCCGAAAAGGCGCGGCCCGGCCGCTCCCGCCTCAGGCGGCGCCTCGGGCAGCCCCGGCGGGGGAAGGGGGGGGGCAAAGGGGTCCTTCCTCGGCCGCGTCGCGCAGCGATGGCGGCGCCCGGGCCGGGGCCGGGGGGGTCGGACCCGAACTGTCCCCAATTGTCCCCAATTCCCCCCGTTCCCGGGTGGCTGCGGGATCCGGCTCCCGGGGCCGAGGGGGGACACGCGGGCAAAGCCCCCCCCGAGTTCGTGTCCCGGCACGGCGGGGGCGGGAGGAGGTTTGGGGGGGGAACCCCCCACTGAGGTTGGGGTGAAACCCCCCGGAATTGGGGTGAAACCGCCCGGAATTGGGGTAAACCCCCCGGAATTGGGGTAAAACCCCCCGGGTTTGGGGTGAAACCCCCCGGAATTGGGGTAAAACCCCCCAAGTTTGGGGTGAAACCCCCGGGTTTGGGGTGAAACCCCCCCGGGATTGGGATGAAACCCCCCAGGTTTGGGGTAAAACCCCCCAGGTTTGGGGTAAAACCCCCCAGGTTTGGGGTGAAACCCCCCGGAATTGGGGTAAAACCCCCCAGGTTTGGGGTAAAACCCCCAAGATTTGGAGTTAAACCCCCGGGTTTGGGGTGAAACCCCCCGGAATTGGGGTAAAACCCCCCAGGTTTGGGGTGAAACCCCCGGGTTTGGGGTGAAACCCCCCCGGGATTGGGATGAAACCTCCCAGGTTTGGGGTAAAACCCCCAAGATTTGGGGTAAAACCCCCCAGGTTTGGGGTGAAACCCCCCGGGATTGGGGTAAAACCCCCCAGGTTTGGGGTAAAACCCCCAAGATTTGGGGTAAAACCCCCCAGGTTTGGGGTGAAACCCCCCGGGATTGGGGTAAAACCCCCCAGGTTTGGGGTAAAACCCCCAAGATTTGGAGTTAAACCCCCGGGTTTGGGGTAAAACCCCCCCCGAATTGGGATGAAACCCGCCGGATTTGGGGTGAAACCCCCCGGGGTTGGGGTAAACCCCCCCGAATTGGGGTAACCCCCCCCAGAATTGGGATGAAACCCCCCGGATTTGGGGTGAAACCCCCCCGGGATTGGGGTTAAACCCCCCCGAATTGGGATGAAACCCCCCGGATTTGGGGTGAAACCCCCCGGGGTTGGGGTAAACCCCCCCGAATTGGGATGAAACCCCCGGGGTTGGATTAAACCCCCCCAGAATCGCGGTAAACCCCCCAAAATTGGGGTCAACCCCCCAGAATCGAGTACAAACCCCCCAGATCGAGGGTCAACCCCCCCCGACCCCCCCCAAATCCCGGTCATTCCCCCTCCAAACCCCCAAATTTGATTTTTATTTTTTTTTACTCCCTTTATTTTGATTTTTTTTTTGACTTTTTTTTTGGTTTTTTTTAGTTCATTAATGGGGGTGCGGAGCGGAGGCACTTGGGGGGGGGGCGGTGCCGGGACCCCCCGGGAAGGGGGGGAGGGGCTGGGGGGGGGGTCAGAGCGGCCCCTCCCCCGCCCCCCAAACCGCCCCCCCTCCCCCCGGCTCGTTAATGGATTAATTGGCCCCCCCGAGCCGGGGGATCGTTAAGGCACCGGGGCCCGGCCGGGGGGGCGGGGAAAATCCACATTATTTATTGCTGGGCCGGGGCGGGGCTTTTTTTTTGCCTTTTTTTGCCTTTTTTTTTTTTTTTTTTCTGGTTTTTTGTCCTCCTTTTTTTTTTTTTTTTTTTTTTCTATACATTCATACAAGTCTGTAAAAATTATTTACAACCTCGGCGCGGTGGGAGGGGCGGGGAGGAGGAGGGAGAGGGGGGAAAGGGGGGAGATGCTGCCAGAGCAACCCCCCCCCCCCCGCGGCTCCGGGAATCCCCCTCCCCCCCCTCAGGACACGGATCCCCCCCCTCGGGATAACGGAGATTCCTCCCCCCCACCTCCCCCCTCCTCCTCGTCCTGGGGGTTATTCCAGGGGAGGAAATTCCTGAGGCTCACCCAGGAATTGGGTTGGTTTTTTTTTTAGTGAATCCCTCTCGGAATTCCAGTTTTTCCCTCCCCCCTTTTTTCCCCCCTTTTCCCCCTCCCCCGACTAAAAATTTTCCTCCAAAACTCTAAAAAGACCTGGGGGGGGAGGGGCGGGGGAGAAAGGGCGGGGCTGGGGGAGAACCCCCCAAATCCCGCCGTTTTTTAGGGAATATATTAATACAAAAATTCTGGGAAGGAGGAGGAGGAGGAGGAGGAAAAGGAGGGAAGAAGGCAAGAGGGGCGGGAATGGGATCATCCCCCCTTTGCCCCCCCCGCCCCCCCTTGGGCCATCCCGGCATTCCCGGGGCAGGAACGCCGGGAATTCCGACAAAGTGCAATATCCGCCCACCCCCCAACCCCCCCCCCCCGCCCCCTTCCAACCCCAAAACTCCGGGGTGGGGAGGGGGCTCCGACCGCCCCCCGTATCCCGGAGCGCTCCAGAGCCCCGGGACACTCCGGGAGCAGCTGCTGGGACCAGCCCTGGAGCTGCCGGGACCGGGATCGGGATCGGGATGGGGCCGGGATCGGGATCGGGATCGGGATCGGGATCGGGACCGGGATCGGGACCGGGATCGGGATCGGGATCGGGATCGGGACCGGGATGGGGCCGGGGCCGAGCTGGGTCAGGAGGGGTCGGTGGGTTTGTCCCCTGTGCCCCCAAGCCCAGGGGAGGGGTCAGTGGGTTTGTCCCCTGTGCCCCCCAGCCCAGAGGGGGATTGGGGGGTTTGTCCCCTGTGTCCCCCAAGCCCGGGGGGGGGTCGGTGGGTTTGTCCCCTGTGCCCCCAAGCCCAGGGGGGGGTCAGTGGGTTTGTCCCCTGTGCCCCCCAGCCCAGGGGGGGGTCAGTGGGTTTGTCCCCTGTGCCCCCAAGCCCAGGGGGGGATTGGGGGGTTGTCTCCCGTGCCCCCCAGCCCAGAGGGGGGGTTCAGATCCCGCAGCTCCGGAGCCCCCAGCGCCGGGGGGGGTTAATCCAGCAGGGAGGGCTCGGCCGGGCGGATGATGGTGGGGCGGTTCGGGGCCGCCGGGGGTCTCCTGGGGGGGGGGACGGGGTGGCTGAGAGCTCCTGGGACCCCCCAGATCATCCCAGGGACCCCCCAGGTAATCCCAGGGACCCCAGCCCATCCCAGGGGGACCCTGGACGATCCCAGGGGAAGCCCAGTCAATCCCAATGAGACCCCAGCGCATCCCAATGGGACCCTGGCCCATCCCAGCAGGATCCCAGATGATCCATCCCACTGGGATCCAGGATGATCCCAGCAGGACCCTGGATAATCCCAATGGGACCCTGGCCCATCCCAGCAGGATCCCAGCGGGATCCCAGCCCATCCCAGCAGGATCCCAGCCCATCCCAGTGAGACCCCAGCCCATCCCAGCAGGATCCCAGCTCATCCCAGCAGGATCCCAGCCCATCCCAGCAGGATCCCAGCCCATCCCAATGGGATCCCAGCCCATCCCAGTGTGACCCCAGCCCATCCAATGTGATCCCAGCCCATCCCAGCAGGATCCCAGCCCATCCCATGGGACCCCAGCCCATCCCATGGGACCCCAGCCCATCCCAATGCGACCCCAGCCCATCCCAGTGGGATCCCAGCCCATCCCAGCAGGATTCCAGCCCATCCAATGCGACCCCAGCCCATCCCGATGTGACCCCAGCCCATCCCAGCAGGATCCCAGCTCATCCCAATGGGATCCCAGCCCATCCCAGCAGGATCCCAGCCCATACCAATGTGATCCCAGCCCATCCCAGCAGGATCCCAGCCCATCCCAATGCGATCCCAGCCCATCCCAGCAAGACCCCAGCCCATCCAATGCAACCCCAGCCCATCCCATGGGACCCCAGCCCATCCCAGTGGGATCCCAGCCCATCCCATGCGACCCCAGCCCATCCCAATGCGACCCCAGCCCATCCCAGCAGGATCCCAGCTCATCCCAGCAGGATCCCAGCCCATCCCAATGTGATCCCAGCCCATCCCAGCAGGATCCCAGCCCATCCCAGTGTGACCCCAGCCCATCCCAATGTGACCCCAGCCCATCCAATGTGACCCCAGCCCCAGCCAAATGTGACCCCAACCTCCAATTTTGACCCCACGCCACATCCCAATGTTACCCCCACACACCAGCCCAATGAGTCCCAGCCCATCCAAGGGGGGGGGGGGGGGGATGGGATCCCAGCCCATCCCATGTGGACCCGCCCATCCCAATGGGACCCCATAGCCCATCCAATGTGATCCAGCACATCCCACAGGAGTCCAGCCCATCCAGTGAGACCCCAGCCCATCCAATGCGACCCCCCATCACCATCCAATCCCAATGTGACCCCAGCCCAGCCCATGGGACCCAGCCCATCCACAGGATCCCAGCCCATCCGTGAACCACCAGCCATCCCAGCAGGATTCCAGCCCATCCCAGCAGGATCCCAGCCCATCCCAATGGGATCCCAGCCCATCCCAGTGTGACCCCAGCCCATCCAATGTGATCCCAGCCCATCCCAGCAGGATCCCAGCCCATCCCAATGAGACCCCAGCGCATCCCAATGAGATCCCAGCCCACCCCAATGGGATCCCAGCCCATCCCGATGCAACCCCAGCCCATCCCAGCGGGATCCCAGCCCATCCCAGCAAGACCCCAGCCCATCCAATGTGATCCCAGCCCATCCCAATGTGATCCCAGCCCATCCCATGGGACCCCAGCCCATCCCAATGTGACCCCAGCCCATCCCAGTGTGACCCCAGCCCATCCAATGTGATCCCAGCCCATCCCAGCAGGATTCCAGCCCATCCCAGCAGGATTCCAGCCCATCCCAGCAGGATTCCAGCCCATCCCAATGTGACCCCAGCCCATCCCATGGGACCCCAACCCATCCCAATGTGACCCCAGCCCATCCCAGTGGGATCCCAGCCCATCCCAATGTGACCCCAGCCCATCCCAGTGGGATCCCAGCCCATCCCAGCACGATTCCAGCCCATCCAATGCGATCCCAGCCCATCCAATGTGACCCCAGCCCATCCCAGTGGGATTCCAGCCCATCCAATGCGACCCCAGCCCATCCAATGCGACCCCAGCCCATCCCAGCTCACCAGACCCCCCCCATCCAGCCCCGCCCACCGCACGGGGGGGTCGGTGGGGGCGGCTCAGCCCCCCTCAGTGCCCCCCCCAGCTCTCACCTGGGCACTCCGGGCGGGATTCCGGGCGGGATGCGGGCGGGGCGGGCGGGGATCTGGGGGGGCGCCGAGAAGGAGTCTCCGGCGAAGACGCTCTGGGGGCCGAGGCGGGAGGGGATGGGGGGGGCGGCGAAGGGGGGCGGGGGGCCCCCCCCGGGCAGGGGCAGCAGCGGGGGCGGCCCCGGGGTCGGGCCCCGCACCGAGGGCGGGCGGCCGGGGGGGCCCAGGGCCGAGGGCGGGCGGCGCTGGGGGGGGGGGCTGTGGAGAGAGAGGGGGGAGAGGGGGGGTCAGGGAGTGGGGAGGGGGCAGCTCCGGCACCCGGGAATGCCCCAATCCCCCTGGGGACATCCCAAACTCCTGGGAGTGCCCCAATCCCCCTGGGGACACCTCTGGGGACATCCCAAACTCCTGGGAATGCCCCAATCCCCCTGGGAGTGCCCCAATCCCCCTGGGGACATCCCAAACTCCTGGGAATGTCCCAATCCCCTGGGAATGCCCCCTGGGAACATCCCATCAACAATCCCCCTGGGAATGATGCCCCAATCCCCCTGGGAGTGCCCCAATCCCCCTGGGGACATCCCAAACTCCTGGGAATGCCCCAATCCCCCTGGGAATGCCCCAATCCCCCTGGGGACATCCCAAACTCCTGGGAGTGCCCCAATCCCCCTGGGAATGCCCCAATCCCCCTGGGGACATCCCAAACTCCTGGGAATGCCCCAATCCCCCTGGGAGTGCCCCAATCCCCCTGGGGACATCCCAAACTCCTGGAACACCCCAACACCCCTGGGAACACACCTGGGGACACCTTAAATCCCCCTGAGAACGCTCCAATCCCCCTGGGACATCCCAAACTCCTGGGAATGCCCCAATCCCACTGGAGCGTCCCAATCCCTCCCGAAACACCCCAATCCCCCTGGGGACACCCTGAATCCCTCTGGAACCACCCTAAACCCCCCTGGGAACACCCCAAACCCACTCTCCCCCTGCTGCAGGAATCCCAGTTCTCCGGGTGACAGAGCCCCCTCCCCAGGAACTGCCCCCCTTCCCCTGCCCAGACCCGCCCTGGCTCCTGCTGCTCCCACTGCTGCTCCCACTGCTGTTCCCACTATTCCCACTGCTGTTCCCACTGCTGTTCCCACTGCTGCTCCCACTATTCCCACTGCTGTTCCCACTATTCCCACTGCTGTTCCCACTGCTGCTCCCACTGCTGTTCCCACTATTCCCACTGCTGTTCCCACTGCTGCTCCCACTGCTGCTCCCACTATTCCCACTGCTGCTCCCACTATTCCCACTGCTGTTCCCACTGCTGTTCCCACTATTCCCACTGCTGTTCCCACTGCTGTTCCCACTATTCCCACTGCTGCTCCCACTGCTGTTCCCACTGCTGCTCCCACTGCTGTTCCCACTGCTGTTCCCACTGCTGCTCCCACTGCTGTTCCCACTATTCCCACTGCTGTTCCCACTGCTGTTCCCACTGCTGTTCCCACTGCTGTTCCCACTATTCCCACTGTTGTTCCCACTGTTGTTCCCACTGTTGTTCCCACTGTCGTTCCCACTATTCCCACTGTTGTTCCCACTGTTGTTCCTGCTGCTCCCGTTGTTGTTCCCCCTGTTGTTTCCACTATTCCCACTGTTGTTCCCACTATTCCCACTGCTGTTCCCACTGTTGTTCCCACTATTCCCGCTGTTGTTCCCCCTGTTGTTCCCACTATTCCCACTATTGTTCTCACTATTCCCACTGTTGTTCCCACTGTTGTTCCCACTATTCCTGCTGTTGTTTCCGCTGTTCCTCCCACTATTCCCACTGTTGTTCCCGCTGTTGTTCCCACTGTTGTTCCTGCTGCTCCCGCTGTTGTTCCCACTGTTGTTCCCACTGTTCCCACTGTTTTTCCCACTATTCCCGCTGTTGTCCCCACTATTCCCACTGCCGTTCCCGCTATTCCCCCTGTTGTTCCCCCTGTTGTTCCCCCTGTTGTTCCCCCTGTTGTTCCCGCTGTTGTTCCCGCTGTTCCCACTGTTGTTCCCACTGTTGTTCCCACTATTCCCCCTGTTTTTCCCACTATTCCCCCTGTTGTTCCCGCTGTCGTTCCCACTCTTCCCGCTGTTGTTCCCACTGTTGTTCCCACTATTCCCCCTGTTGTTCCTGCTGTTGTTCCCGCTGTTGTTCCCCCTGTTGTTCCCACTGTCGTTCCCGCTGTCATTCCCACTCTTCCCGCCGTCGTTCCCGCTGTCGTTCCCACTCTTCCTGCTGTTGTTCCCACTATTCCCCCTGTTGTTCCTGCTGTTGTTCCCGCTGTTGTTCCCCCTGTTGTTCCCACTATTCCCACTGTCGTTCCCACTGTTCCCACTGTCGTTCCCGCTGTCGTTCCCACTCTTCCCGCCGTCGTTCCCGCCGTCGTTCCCGCCGCTCCCGGCGCTCCCACCTGTGGCCGGGGCCGGGCTGGAGCCAGGTGTCGTCGACGGGGGGTGGCACGGGCGTGGACACGGTGCTGGTGCTGATGTCCCCGATGATGCCCAGGGCCTCCTTGAGCGCGTGGTACATGCGCAGCATCTCGTCCCGGCGCTGCGCCTGCTCCGCAGACTCCTCCATCAGGCTGCCCTGGTCGGCCGACGAGTACAGGTAGGCCAGCAGCTCCGAGTGGATGAAATCCTTGGTCTGGGGGCAGAGAGGGACGAGAGGGGTCGGGGTGAAATCCTTGGTCTGGGGGCAGAGAGGGAGGAGAGGGGGTTGGGGGTGAAATCCTTGGTCTGGGAAGAGAAGGGGAGACAAGGGGGTTGGGGGTGAAATCCTTGGTCTGGGGGGAGAGAGGGAGGCAAAGGGTTGGGGTGAAATCCTTGGTGTGGGAGGAGAGAGGGAGGTAAAGGGTTGGGGTGAAATCCTTGGTGTGGGAGGAGAGAGGGAGGTAAAGGGTTGGGGTGAAATCCTTGGTGTGAGAAAGGGATTGGGAATGAAATCCTTGGTCTGGGAGGAGAGAGGGAGGAGAGAGGGTTGGGGGTGAAATCCTTGGTCTGGGGGGAGAGAGGGTTGGGGGTGAAATCCTTGGTCTGGGGGCAGAGAGGGAGGCAAAGGGTTGGGGGTGAAATCCTTGGTGTGGGGGGAGAGAGGGAGGAGAAGGGTTGGGGGTGAAATCTTTGGTCTGGGGGGAGAGAGGGAGGCAAAGGGTTGGGGGTGAAATCCTTGGTGTGGGAGGAGAGAGGGAGGAGAGGGGTTGGGGGTGAAATCCTTGGTCTGGGGGGAGAGAGGGAGGAGAGGGGGTGGGGTGAAATCCTTGGTCTGGGGGGAGAGAGGGAGGAGAGGGGTTGGGGAAAAAATCCTTGGTCTGGGGGCAGAGAGGGAGGAGAGGGGGTTGGGGGTGAAATCCTTGGTGTGAGAAAGGGATTGGGGGTGAAATCCTTGGTCTGGGAGGAGAGAGGGAGACAAGGGGGTTGGGGGTGAAATCCTTGGTCTGGGAGGAGAGAGGGAGGAGAGAGGGTTGGGGGTGAAATCCTTGGTGTGGGAGGAGAGAGGGAGGTAAAGGGTTGGGGTGAAATCCTTGGTGTGGGAGGAGAGAGGGAGGAGAGGGGTCAGAGTGAAATCCTTGGTCTGGGAAGAGAAGGGGGTTGGGGGTGAAATCCTTGGTGTGGGGGGAGAGAGGGAGGAGAGGGGTCGGGGTGAAATCCTTGGGGTGGGAGGGGAAAGGGAGGCGAGGGGTTGGGGTGAAATCCTTGGTCTGGGGGGAGAGAGGGAGGTAAAGGGTTGGGGGAGAAATCCTTGGTGTGGGAAGAGAAGGGGAGACAAGGGGGTCGGGGGTGAAATCCTTGGTCAAGGAAGAGAAGGGAGTTGGGGGTGAAATCCTTGGTCTGGGAGGGGAAAGGGAGACGAGGGGGTCGAGGGTGAAATCCTTGGTGTGAGAAAGGGATTGGGGATGAAATCCTTGGTCTGGGAGGAGAAGGGGGTTGGGGGTGAAATCCTTGGTCTGGGAGGAGAAGGGGGTTGGGGGTGAAATCCTTGGTCTGGGAAGAGCAGGGGGTTGGGGTGAAATCCTTGGTCTGGGAAGGGAAGGGGGTTGGGGGTGAAATCCTTGGTGTGGGAAGAGCAGGGAAGAGCTGCTCCTTCCAGGGAATTGTGGGGAGCCAGAAGGTCCCCCCAGAGCCTCCTTTTTCCAGGCTGAGCCCCCCCAGCTCCTTCAGCTGCTCCCACAAGTTCTCCAGCCCCTTCTCCTGCTCTCCAGCCCCTGCTCCTGTTCTCCAGCCCCTTCTCCTGCTCTCCAGCCCCTGCTCCTGTTCTCCAGCCCCTTCTCCTGCTCTCCAGCCCCTGCTCCTGTTCTCCAGCCCCTTCTCCTGCTCTCCAGACACTCTTTCTCCATCCCCTTCTCCACGTTCTCCAGCCCCTTCTCCTGTTCTCCATTCCCTTCTCCCACTCTCCATTCCCTTCTCCTGTTCTCCAGCCCCTTCTCCCACTCTCCATCCCCTTCTCCTGCTCTCCATCCCCTTCTCCTGCTCTCCATCCCCTTCTCCTGCTCTCCATCCCCTTCTCCTGCTCTCCATCCCCTTCTCCTGTTCTCCAGCCCCTCCTCCAGTTCTCCATTCCCTTCTCCCCCTCTCCATCCCCTTCTCCGTGTTCCCCATCCCCTTCTCCTGCTCTCCATCCCCTTCTCCTGTTCTCCATCCCCTTCTCCCCCTCTCCATCCCCTTCTCCCCCTCTCCATCCCCTTCTCCCACTCTCCAGCCCCTTCCCCACCCTCTCCCTCCCCTCTCCCGTGGTCCCTCGCCCCCGTCCCGCTCACATTGTTGATCATGAGGTGCATGATGGTCTTTGGCATGAGGTCCCGGATGGATTTGTTGATGATCCCGACGTAGGAGTCCACGAGGTTCCGGATGGTCTCCACCTGCCGCTCCAGCTGCGGATCCATGGAGAAGGTGTTTTCCTGCGCCCCGTCCTCGCTCTCCGTCTGCTCGGGGGGGGGAAAGCAGGGAATGAGTCCCCGCCGGGATCGGGACGAGACCCCTCTGGCTCCGCGGCATTCCCGGTCCCCGCTCCCATCCCGCGGGAATTTCATCCTCCTCCCGGCGTTTTCCAGGGTAGCCCAGGAGCGCGGGAGCCAAGCTGGGGGCTCCCTGCTCCTCCAGGGGCAGCCCCTGCTCCGGAGGGATCGGGATGTTGGGAGGGGGGGGGTTTACTTGGTCTTTCTCGGGATAAACTCCCGCGCGGAGGAAGGAGGCTTTCCAGCTGTCCACGTCCTCCTGGGAATCGCAGGCCAGCTCGATCTGACGCAGATCCTTGTACACGTTCCTGGGGGGAAGGAGCAGAGCCGGGGGTCGGGGGGAGCCCCCGGAGCCCCAGATCCCGATGGAATCCCAGGATAAACGCTGGATGAGCCGCTGCTTCCTCCGGGGAAACCCCCTCCCCTCCCCGCGCGGGATCCCGGACGCTCCGGCCTCGGAGGAGACGGATGCGGGGCCGGGGTTTGGAGGGAAGGGAAAATCCATGGAAGGATCCCGGGATTCTGGGGGGGATCCCACACCTCTGCTCCGTGTTGAAGATGGCGAAGACGTGTTTGGTGGACATGAATCCCTTCTCCACATCCCTGATCTTCAGGTTGTCCAGGGGCAGCATGTACTTCTTCTCCTTCTCCTGGAAAAGGGGGACGAGAGGGAAGGAGGGATGAGCCCGGGGGCGCTTCCTGGATGCCAAAGAGGCACCTGGAGCGGGAATAAACCCCCCACAGCCCTGGGAAGGCGGCACAGATCCAAACTCCAGAACAGATCCCAAGCTCGGGATCAGATCCCAAGCTCCAGAACAGATCTCAAGCTCCGGATCAGATCCCAAGCTCTGGAACGGATCCCAAGCTCAGGTTCAGATCCAAACTCCAGAACGGATCCCAAGCTCAGGTTCAGATCCAAGCTCCAGAACGGATCCCAAGCTCCGGATCAGATCCCAAGCTCCAGAACTGATCCCAAGCTCCGGAACGGATCCCAAGCTCCGGAACAGATCCCAAGCTCCCACCAGGGAAGGTTCACCAGGAGATGCTTCCCTGGCTCATCCCGTGGCCAACACCAGCCTGGGATGGGGGGAATCTGCTCCCGGAGCCCCGGCACGCGGAGGGACCAGGGATCTGCTCTGCCTCTCCCAAGGCTGCCGAGGAACCCCCCGGAGATTTGGGATTTGGTCCCTGCGGGATGGAATCGGCTCCCCCGGAGCCCACCCCGCTCCCAGCCGGGATCCCCAGGAATGTCCCCCTGGAGCCGGGGGCTGGAAGGAGCCGGCGGAGCCCCCGGAGCCGATTCCAGCGGCCCCTTTCCCGCCACATCTGGAACCGTTTAGAGCGGCAGCGGCTCCGGCTCCACTTTTTGTGTCTCCAGATGGTCCCAAAAAGTGACGTTGGCCTTTGTGGAGAGGCCACGAACCCGGCGCCGCCCCCCCCCCCCCCCCCCCCCCCCCCTCAGCCCCCCCCCTCCCTCCCTCCCTCCCTCCCCCCCGACTCCTCCGCGCGATTTCCTGAAAAACCCACAGCGCTTTTCCAGGCGGGATTCGGGGCCCAGGGCTCTGCCACGTCAGGACCAGACAAAGCCTCGGCTTCCTCTCCGCCGAGAGCCCCAAAAAACCCCCCCAACCACCACGAGGAAAACCTCGGGAAGGGAGGGAGGAAGAGGAAGAGGGAGGAAGGAAGAGGAAGGAAATGCCGCGGAGGATTCCCAGGGGAAGCAGGAGATCCGGGCCGGCGTTCCCAGTGTTCAGACTACCTGTTCAGGTGGGCTCTGTGTTGTACAGTAGTCTGCACATTGGTTACGCCGGCCCGGCCCGGCTCCGGCTCCGCCGCAGGTAAGGGGGGGCCTGGGGGTGATTCCCAGGAATTGCCCCTTCCCGGGGGATCCCACAGATTCCAGGGGCCCGTGGGGGGGGAAGGAGGGAATTGTGCCCTGCTGGTGTCCCCCCACCCAAATGCCACGGCAGCTCCTGGTTTTTAGGGCTGGGGGGTCAGAGAGAGCGGGATGAGGACAGAGCCTTGTTCATCATCCCGCGGGTCGATCCCATTCCCCCCTCCCCGAGGGGCCCCGCAGGAAACCGGGATTGCTCCGGGTGGGATCAGCCCTGATGTGTTCCTGCTCTTTTAGGGGGGACTGGGGGGGGGGGGGAGACCTTCTCCTCCGCCGGGAAGAGACCGGAAGAACAAAGGAAAACCGGGATTCGGTCCCGGGAAATAAACGCTGTGTCCGTGTGTCTCCTTTTCCTGACCCCGTGCTGGGCTCTGCCCGCCCCCATTCCCACCCCCTGTCCCCCCAAAATCCCGGGAAGGGCCCCCCCCCCTCCTTCCCAGCCTCTGGCTGCCGGGCCGGTGACGTCAGGGGAGGAGTGGGATCGGGATCGGGATCGTGGGGGCGGAAACGCTGGAAAACCCGAAAATTCCACGGAGGAGACGCCGGGCAGGAGCTGCTGGAGCTGCCTCAGCCCCTTCCCGGGGGAAGCCCCTTTGGAAATGAGGGTTGGGGGTGGATCTGGGGGAGTCTCCAACACCCTGGAACACCGGGAGCGGGATGGACGCTCCCGAGGGCCGGGGATGCAATTCCCAACCGGATCAACGGGATGGATCAGTGAGGAGCAGCCCCTTCCCAGACACCCAGCAGGAGAAAGGGGGGACCTGAGGACTCCAGCACCTCAAAATCCCAGGGATTGAGGGAATCTGAGTCTTTCCACCCTCGGGGGGGGCCTGGGGGAGAGCAGGACTCGATCCCAGCTCCCATCTCCCTCCAGCCCCGGCATTCCCTGCTGGAATGTGCCCTCGGAGGATGCCAGACCGGCGCAGCCCCCCCCGGAACCCCCTTTTTCCTTCCTCTGCTTTTCCCTGAGCCGGGTCAGGGGGCTGGGACAGGGGTGGGAGACACGGAAACCCCCCCTCAAACGGAGCCAGAGCCCCTCGGAACCCCCGGGAGCCGCCGGAGCCTCCGGGTTTATCCGAGTCCACACAACCCCGAGGTTCAGGAGAGCGTTTGGAAACGGGGAATTCGGGGTCTGGATGAGCCCCCACGCCCGGATTTGGGTGTTGTCGTTCCTCCTGGGCACTAATCCCCATCCCTACCCCAGGGATCTTCCCGCTGGAGCGCCGGGAATCCCGATTTCCCCCCCGTACCTCGTCGTCCTTGTACCAGGAGAGCGACTCGGCCGTGAGCACGAACCAGTATTCCTTGGAGCCGCCCTTCATGATGCTGATGTTGTTGATGGTCACCCAGCCCCTGCGGATCACCTGGAGCAGGAGCAGGAGCAGGGAGCGAGGGAGGGAGGAAGGAAGGAGACGTTACAGCGGGATGGATTCCAGAGGGATGCCCGGGGAGGAGAGCGAGAAGTGACCCCGAAGCCTCATCCGGGCGGATCCCGAGCCCCCATCCCACAGGGAAGGTGTGGGGGGGGAACACCCGGAGATCCCGAGCCCCCATCCCACAGGGAAGGTGTGGGGGGGGAACACCCAGAGATCCCGAGCCCCCATCCCACAGGGAAGCTGGTAGCAGGTGGGGGGGAACACCCGGAGATCCCGAGCCCCCATCCCACAGGGAAGCTGGCAGCAGGTGGGGGGGAACACCTGGAGATCCCGAGCTCCCAATCCCACGGGGAGGTTGGAGGGGGGGGACACCTGAAGCTCTCCAAGCTCCCAAAGTCGGGTGGGAAAAGCTGCCCAGGCCAGCGGGATGATCCAAACCCAACCCCCTGTCGCTGCTGGCTCAGCCTGGATGGGCTGAAAGGAAAAGCTCCAGCACCCCACGGCCCCATGGAGGGATCCTACAACCCCATAGATGGATCCTACAACATCATGGATGGATCCTACAATCCCACAGATGGATCCTATGACATCATGGATGGATCCTACAATCCCACAGATGGATCCCACGGCCCCAGGAAGGGATCCTACAATGTCATGGAGAGATCCCATGGCCCCAGGGAGGGATCCCACAGCCCTATGGACGGAACCCACGGCCCCATGGATGGATCCTACAGCCCCAGGGAGGGATCCTACGATGTCATGGAGGGATCCCACGGCCCCAGGGAGGGATCCTACAATGTCATGGAGGGATCCCACGGCCCCATGGACGGATCCTACAACCCCATGGAGGGATCCCACGGCCCCATGGATGGATCCTACAATGTCATGGAGGGATCCTACGGCCCCATGGATGGATCCTACAACCCCATGGAGGGATCCCACGGCCCCATGGATGGATCCTACAATGTCATGGAGCGATCCCATAGCCCCATGGAGCGATCCCACAGCCCCATGGATGGATCCTATAATGTCATGGAGCGATCCCACAGCCCCAGGGAGGGATCCTACAACCCCATGGATGGATCCCACGGCCCCATGGATGGATCCTACAACCCCATGGATGGATCCCACAACCCCACAGATGGATCCCTGTCCTGAGGAACCCCCACCCCAAGCCAAGCAGCATCCCACCAGGAATTCTTTCCCGGGACTCCAGACAGGAGGGACCCCAGGGATTCCCAACCCTGTGCCAGCCCCTGCCCTGGCGGGTTGTCCCACCCAGGGGTTAGTGCCGGGGGGTGCCGGGGTCAGTGGGAAGCGCGGTCGGAGCGGGACCAACCCTGGGGTTGGCACGGGTTAGACACGGGTTTTGTCGTGGCTCCTGCGGGAACACCGGGATGGATCCTCCCCCCCTGGAGCCGAGGGTTTTCCCACATCCCTCGGGGCGGGTGGCTCTGCTTTTCCCAAGGGAGAAGCCACGACAAAATTCCCGGGGTTAGGAAGAGGCGAAGCTCGGAGGCGGCCGGAGCGTCCCGGGCCAGGGGAAGGGCAGAGCCCCGGAATTCCGGGCGGGATTTCACCTGCAGGAACCTCTGAGACACCCCCCCCCCCCATTCCCTTGGAATTTGATCCCAGCTGGTTTTAAAGGAACTGAGCCAGGAGGGAGGAGTGGGGAGGAGAAAGGATTGGGAAAGGGCAGAGGGAAAGGGATCGGAGCAGAGCGAGGGCAGGGGGGGCTCGGGGAGGGCCAGGGGGGATTTGGGGGGGATTATCGGGAAAAGGGGATCCACCTTTGGAGCAGGGGAGGGGGAGAGGGTCTGGCAGGCACTGGGAGAGCTCACAGGGAATTCCAAGGAAAAGGGAGAGGGTCTGGCAGGCACTGGGAGAGCCTGCAGAGAATTCCAAGGAAAAGGGAGAGGGTCTGGCAGGCATTGGGAGAGCTGGCAGGGAATTCCAAGGAAAAGGGAGAGGGTTTGGCAGGCACTGGGAGAGCTCACAGGGAATTCCAAGGAAAAGGGAGAGGGTCTGGCAGGCACTGGGAGAGCTCACAGGGAATTCCAAGGAAAAGGGAGAGGGTCTGGCAGGCACTGGGAGAGCCTGCAGGGAATTCCAAGGAAAGGGGAGAGGGTCTGTGCAGCCCGGCAGGAGCCGGAGCCTTTGGGAAAAGCCAAGGAGGAGCAGGAGGAAGGAGGGAGAAAGTTCCTTTAAACCCGACTGATTTTGTGGGAATCGGAAGGTTCTGGGGCCCGAGAGCTCCCGGAGCTCGGCCCGGCTCCGATCCCGAATTCCCAGCTCTCCCCTTCCCGGTCCCGGCGCGATCCTGTCCCGCGGGGAGAGGCCCTGCCCGGAACCCGGGGGGGTTTTCCAGAAACCCCTTGGACGGTGCAGAAGGAAAACGGAAGCGTCTGGAGTCGGGAAAAGGCGACGCCGGAGCCGGGACGGGAATTCCCGGGAAAAGCAGGACACCGGGGCGGCTTCCAGGCCACCCCCGGGAATTCCGGCGGCCTCGTAAAATCCGTGGTTTGGGAAGGGAGGAGAAGCCTCCAGTGCCAAGCGCAGCCGCTTTCCCACGGGAATGGGGTGGCTGATGCCAGGGAGCTTCGCCTGCCTCCCGCTCCAACTTTATCCGGAGGCAGGAGCCACGGGATTATCCCGGTTTTCCTCCCCAGGGAGACCCCGGGGTGTGGAGGGGCCGTAAATCCCAAGCTGGGGGATAATTCCGGGGCAATTCCCTCTCAGACACTTCCGTTTTCCCGGAGCGGCGGGATCAGGCCCCCCCCCACCCCGGCTCCGAGGGGATCCCTGGATCCCAGACAGGGAATTGCATCCCAGGAGTGAGCACGCTGAGGGAGAGCTCCAGGAATAACCTCAAGTTGGGAACCGAGGAATTCTGTTCTCGGCAGGTCAGGATTTAACCTCAAATCCCACAAAAAAAACCTGGGAATTTGGGGGACATAACACACTTCCAGCCCTTCCCCCCGTGCGTTCCCAAAGGAACTCCCTTCCCAAGGGAATCTCATCCCACCACAGCAGCTCTGGGCTAACAAATCATAAGGATTTTGGCTTCCCAAGGGCCGGGAAAAGCAGGTGGGAGCTGAATCCCAGGATCCAGGGTCCCTATCCCAGGATCCAGCTCTCCCTGTCCCAGGTCCCAGCCCGGGATGGCCCCGAATCCCTTTTTTTTTGGGAAGAGCCAGGAGCGGGCACGGAGGGGACGAAGCCAATTCCACCTCACGGATCCCTCTGGGAATGCTGGGAATGCCCCTGGGAATGCCCCCCCCCCTTCTCCCAGCAGCGTGCTCCATCCTGGGAAGCGGGGTCGGGAATGCTGCTCCCGGCTCTAATCCCGCTCCGAGGTACTTACCAGGATCTCCCCCTTGGGGTGGGCAAAATTAAGGGACAAAAAGAAAAAAAAGCAGGATGAGGAGGAGACAGGACGGGGAAGGGAAAGGAGGTGACGGGAGAGAGCGGGAAGCACAAAAAAACGGGAAGGGGGGAAAAAGCAGAAAAACAGCAGAAGAAAACCCGTTACATGCTATTAATGACGGTCATTCCCAGCGTTAATCATCCCTCGGAGCCGCTCTTCCCGAGGGAGCAAAGGGCCACCGGGGGGGGGGACACACGGCCCCCTCAGCCCAACACCCCCTCGGGAGCGGGAGCACGGCGGGGGGCACTCGGATTCCGGGACATCCCGGTGTCCTCCTGGTCATTATTCCCTGAGCCAGGGATTCCAGGACATTCCAGGGATGGGGGGGACTCGGATTCTGGGACATCCCGGTGTCCTCCTGGTCATTATTCCCTGAGCCAGGACAGGGGGGGACTCGGATTCCGGGACATCCCGGTGTCCTCCTGGTCATTATTCCCTAAGCCAGGGATTCCAGGACATTCCAGGGATGGGGGGCACTCGGATTCTGGGACATCCCGGTGTCCTCCTGGTCATTATTCCCTAAGCCAGGGATTCCAGGACATTCCAGGGATGGGGGGCACTCGGATTCCGGGACATCCCGGTGTCCTCCTGGTCATTATTCCCTGAGCCAGGGATTCCAGGACATTCCAGGGATGGGGGCACTCGGATTCCGGGACATCCCGGTGTCCTCCTGGTCATTATTCCCTGAGCCAGGGATTCCAGGACATTCCAGGGATGGGGGGACTCGGATTCCAGGACATCCCGGTGTCCTCCCGGTCCCCATTCCCTGAGCCAGGACAAGGGGGGACATGGATTCCAGAACATCCCAGTCCAGTCTTCATTCCCTGAGCCAGGATGGGATGGAATGGACATGGATTCCAGGACATCCCAGGGATGGGGGGGACTCGGATTCCGGGACATCCCGGTGTCCTCCCGGTCCCCATTCCCTGAGCCAGGACAGGGGGGGGGGACATGGATTCCAGGACATCCCAGGGATGGGGGGGGACATGGATTCCAGGACATCCCAGGGATGGGGGGGACATGGATTCCAGAACATCCCAGGGATGGGGGGGACATGGATTCCAGGACATCCCAGGGATGGGGGGGACATGGATTCCAGGACATCCCGGTGTCCTCCCGGTCCCCATTCCCTGAGCCAGGACAAGGGGGGACATGGATTCCAGAACATCCCAGTCCAGTCTTCATTCCCTGAGCCAGGATGGGATGGAATGGACATGGATTCCAGGACATCCCAGGGATGGGGGGGACTCGGATTCCGGGACATCCCGGTGTCCTCCCGGTCCCCATTCCCTGAGCCAGGACAGGGGGGGGGGACATGGATTCCAGGACATCCCAGGGATGGGGGGGACATGGATTCCAGAACATCCCAGGGATGGGGGGGACATGGATTCCAGAACATCCCAGTCCAGTCTTCATTCCCTGAGCCAGGATGGGATGGAGTAGACATGGATTCCAGGACATCCCAGGGATGGGGGGGACATGGATTCCAGGACATCCCGGTGTCCTCCCTGTCCCCATTCCCTGAGCCAGGATGGGATGGAGTGGACATGAATTCCAGGACATCCCAGTGTCCTCCCTGTCCCCACCCCCAGGGCTGGGCCGGGTCCCCCAGCAGCTCCTCCCGCCCAGTTTGTCCCAGATCCCGCTGATTTTAGCCGGGAATTCCGCTCCCACTCTGCCCCGGAGCTCCGGCTCTCCCGCCTCCATCCCTGGCCTTAAACATCCACGTTTAGGGATCCCCCGGGATCCCGCTGCCCGAGTGCTGCCGGAGGGGATATCCTGGAGAGCCAGCCCTGCTCCCGGAGGAGCAGCAGCAGGAGGAGGAGGAGGAGGAGGAGGAGGAGGAGGAGGAGGAGGAGGAAGGCCGGGAGCCTCCGGCTGTACCTGGTTGGGAATCGCCCTCTTCTTGTTGGTCTGCGTGTTCCTCTGCTGCGCGCTGGAAAACAGGGAAAAGAGGGAATTTTTTGAGGCAGGGAAGAGAAATCCCACGCAATTCCCGCCCGGAACGCCGCAAGGATGAGCTGATCCAAAAAGGGGGGGGGGGAAAAAGCCCGTCAGGTGGAATTCCAGAGCCCCTTCCCGAGGTTTGCCCAGGAGCGGGTGGAGAGGGGAGGGGGGACGGACACCGGGATCTCCTTCCTCACGGACCGGACCGTTATTCCCAGGAATTCCAGGGGGAGGAACTGGCAGGAGAGGAAACACCGAGTGGAGCAGCGGCTGCGGATTCCCAAGGGAATTCCGGCGGGGAGCCCGGCCCCGAGAACCACCGAGAACCAGGGAGGCCTCGCTCCCGAAAAGCCCCGACTCCCCCCGGCTGGGGAGCGGGAGCGGGATCGGGACGGAGCGTTACCTGCACCAGAGGGAAAGCTACCTGTCTCTCCTGAGCACCGGGGGGACGGGGCGGAACCGTTAGGCAGGAGCGGGAATAAAATCCAGGAAGACAGTTAGAATCCCGCCGGGAACACCCCGGAGCAGCAGTTCCCGAGCACCCATCCCTGGGAATGGGCGGGATCCCATCCCTGGGAATGGGCAGGATCCCATCCCTGGGAATGGGCAGGATCCCATCCCTGGGAATGAGCGGGATCCCATCCCTGGGAATGGGCGGGATCCCATCCCTGGGAATGGGCGGGATCCCATCCCTGGGAATGAGCGGGATCCCATCCCTGGGAATGAGCGGGATCCCATCCCTGGGAATGAGCGGGATCCCATCCCTGGGAATGGGCGGGATCCCATCCCTGGGAATGAGCGGGATCCCATCCCTGGGAATGGGCGGGATCCCATCCCTGGGAATGGGCGGGATCCCATCCCTGACTTGCCGGGATTCCGGGTTTGGGGAACTGCTCTCTGCCTGCCCTGATCCCAACATTCCTCCCGAATCCCCGGGAATGCCCGAGGATCCCGAATCCCCGGAGCGGGGATGCTCTCCGAGGGCTCGAGGAGAAGCTCCAGGCTCCCGAAAATCCAAGGTGGGAAGTGGGAGGAGAAGCTCTGGGCTTCCAATTCTGAAGTTAAACTGGGAGGAGAAGTTCCCCGGCTCCCAGATCCAAGGGACAAATTCCCTGGCTCCCAATTCCAGAGCTGACTGGGAGGAGAAGCTCCCCAGCTCTTGAATCCAAAGGGGAAGCTGCCCAGCTCCGGGATCCAGGCGGGAAGCTCCTGAACCCAAAGGAGAAGCTCCCCAGCTCCCGGATCCAAAGGGGAATCTCCCCAGCTCTCAGATCCAAAGGGAAGCTCCTGAACCCAAAGGGAATCTCCCCAGCTCCCGGATCCAAAGGGAAGCTCTCCAGCTCCATGGGGAAAGCTCCCCAGCTCCCAGCTCCAAAGGGGAAGCCGCCCAGTTCCCAGATCCAACAGGGAAGCTCCTGAATCCAAAGAGGAAGCTCCCCAGCTCCCAGATCTAGGGGGGAATCTCCCCAGCTCCCAGATCCAGGTGGGAAGCTCCCCAGCTCCATAGGGGAATGTCCCCATCTCCCAGATCCAAAGGGAAGCTCTCCAGCTCCATGGGGGAAGCTCCTCAGCTCCCAGCTCCAAAGGGGAAGCCGCCCAGCTCCCGGATCCAGGCGGGAAGCTCCCCAGCTCCCAGATCCAAAGGGGAAGCCGCCCAGCTCCCAGATCCAAAGGGGAAGCTCCCCAGCTCCCAGATCCAACAGGGAAGCTCTCCAGCTCCATAGGGGAATCTCCCCATCTCCCAGATCCAAAGGGAAGCTCTCCAGCTCCATGGGGGAAGCTCCCCAGCTCCCAGATCCAAAGGGAAGCTCCCCAGCTCCCAGATCCAAAGGGGAAGCTCCCCAGCTCCCAGATCCAGGCGGGAAGCTCCCCAGCTCCCAGATCCAAAGGGAAGCTCTCCAGCTCCATGGGGGAAGCTCCCCAGCTCCATGGTGGGTATCAGCTCCCCAGCTCCCCCGATCAACGGGAAGCTCCCCATCTTTCCCGTCTGATACATAAGGGAAGTTCGTCTGCCTCCATGGCAGGGAAGCTCCAAAGATCCCAAGATCCATAGGGAAGCTCCCCGCTCCGTTGGGGGAAGCTCCCCAGCTCCATGGGGTAAGCTCCCCAGCTCCATGGGGGACGCTCCTCAGCTCCCAGCTCCAAAGGGGAAGACGCCCAGCTCCCGGCTCCCGTGGGGAAGCTGCCGGGGGCTGTGGGCAGGGGGTCCTGCCGCCGGTACCCACCCGGTCGCCACGTGCTGCTCAGTGAAACAGCTGGGGCGGGAGAGGATCGGAGGAGTCCGGAGAGACAGAGAGAGGTGACGGATCCGAGGGGAGACAGCAGAGAGCAGGAGGAGAGGAAGGAACGCGACCGGAGGCGGAAAGGCAGAGACAGGAGAGAGAGAAAAAAAAAAAGAGGGAGAAGAGAAAACAGGAGGAAGACTGTGGGGAATTTAAGGAGCAGGAGTGGGCGTGGGCTCCGGGCACCCACGTGCCAGGGGTTTCCAGAAGGTTCCCGGCCGGTTTGGGGCCGGAAAACACCGGCCTTCCTTTGGGAGAAGCCGAGGGAAGGCAGCAGGGACAGAGGACAGGGGGCTTTCCCTGCTCCGTTCCAGCTCCAGGGGACGGGACGAGGGTCGTTCCAACGGCCCGAACCTCGGGAATTCATCCAGGCGGCCCCGGAGGCTGGACACCCCCATTCCAGCTTTTCCCAACACCCCCATTCCAGCTTTTCCCAACACCCCCGTTCCAGCTTTTCCCAACACCCCCGTTCCAGCTTTTCCCAACACCCCCATTCCAGCTTTTCCCACCACCCCCATGCCAGCTTTTCCCAGCCCTCAAAGCGGGCGGTGGCAAACGGAGAAGGGGAAGCTCCCGTCTCCCAGACCTGAGGGAATCGGGTGCCAAAGGTGCCAAAGGTGTGGATTTGGTGGGCGACGACGGGATGTGGGAGGCTCCGGCCTTCCCATGGCCGATCCCAGAGGGATAACACAATCCCAGGATAACACAGCCCCCCCCAGGCCGGGGGTGGGACCACGAGCCTCGCCGACGGAGAGTTTGGGATTTATCCCCCCCCCGGAAAAGGACTCACTTGGCAAATCCGATGAAATCCTCGTGGTTGGTGTTGATGTAGGAGAGCTCGATGTCGATCAGCAGCAGGATCTGGAGGGATCAGGGAGGGTGGGAATTCCCAGGGAGCCGAGAGGGAGCCCCGGGGACGCCCGAGGGGCCGGGAAGGAGCGGGATGGGGGCTCACCTGGTCCTTGGTTTTGCCCTCGCGCTCCCGGATGTGGGTGGTGACGATCCGCTCCGTCTCCTCCCGCAACCTGGGGTAGGAACCGAGCTGAAAAGAGAGGGAGAAGGACGGGGAAAAACCGCTGCGGGGGGACCGTGGCAGCGCCGCCGGGGCACCGACTGGTTCTGCCAAATCCACCCCAACCAGGTCCTGCTCGAGGGCATGGACTCAGTTCTGCCAAATCCACCCAAACCAGGTCCTGCCAGAGGGCACCGACTCGGTTCTGCCCCAAATCCACCCAAACCAGGTCCTGCCAGAGGGCACTGACTCGGTTCTGCCAAATCCACCCCAACCAGGTCCTGCTCGAGGGCATGGACTCAGTTCTGTGTCAAATCCACCCCAACCAGGTCCTGCTCGAGGGCATGGACTGTTCTCCACCAAATCCACCCCAACCAGGTCCTGCCAGAGGGCACTGACTCGGTTCTGTGCCAAATCCACCCCAACCAGGTCCTGCTCGAGGACATGGACTGTTCTCCACCAAATCCACCCCAACCAGGTCCTGCTCGAGGACATGGACTCAGTTCTGTGTCAAATCCACCCAAACCAGGTCCTGCCCAGTTACTGGTGCAGCCAGTCCCTTACTGGTGTTACTGGTGCAGCCAGTCCCTTATAGGTGTTACTGGTGCAGCCAGTCCCTTACTGGTGTTACTGGTGCAGGTAGTCCCTTATAGGTGTTACTGGTGCAGCCAGTCCCTTACTGGTGTTACTGGTGCAGCCAGTCCCTTACTGGTGTTACTGGTGTGACCCCTACCTGACCGATGCACTGGCACACAGTGCTGTTACTGGTGTTACTGGTGGCAGCAGTACCTTACTGGTGCACTGTGGATGAGCTCCTGGATGCCCAGGTGCCCTGTTACTGGTGTTACTGGTGTTACTGGTGTTACTGGTGTTACTGGTGGCAGCAGTACCTTACTGGTGCACTGTGGATGAGCTCCTGGATGCCCAGGTGCCCTGTTACTGGTGTTACTGGTGTTACTGGTGTTACTGGTGTTACTGGTGGCAGCAGTACCTTACTGGTGCACTGTGGATGAGTTCCTGGATGCCCAGGTGCCCTGTTACTGGTGTTACTGGTGGCAGCAGTACCTTACTGGTGCACTGTGGATGAGTTCCTGGATGCCCAGGTGCCCTGTTACTGGTGTTACTGGTGGCAGCAGTACCTTACTGGTGCACTGTGGATGAGCTCCTGGATGCCCAGGTGCCCTGTTACTGGTGTTACTGGTGGCAGCAGTATCTTACTGGTGCACTGTGGATGAGCTCCTGGATGCCCTGTCACTGGTGTTACTGGTGTTACTGGTGTTACTGGTGGCAGCAGTACCTTACTGGTGCACTGTGGATGAGCTCCTGGATGCCCAGGTGCCCTGTTACTGGTGTTACTGGTGTTACTGGTGTTACTGGTGGCAGCAGTACCTTACTGGTGCACTGTGGATGAGCTCCTGGATGCCCAGGTGCCCTGTCACTGGTGTTACTGGTGTTACTGGTGTTACTGGTGGCAGCAGTACCTTACTGGTGCACTGTGGATGAGCTCCTGGATGCCCAGGTGCCCTGTCACTGGTGTTACTGGTGTTACTGGTGGCAGCAGTACCTTACTGGTGCACTGTGGATGAGCTCCTGGATGCCCAGGTGCCCTGTCACTGGTGTTACTGGTGTTACTGGTGGCAGCAGTACCTTACTGGTGCACTGTGGATGAGTTCCTGGATGCCCAGGTGCCCTGTCACTGGTGTTACTGGTGGCAGCAGTACCTTACTGGTGCACTGGCGCACGGTGTTGATGAGCTCCTGGATGCCCAGGTGCCCTGTCACTGGTGTTACTGGTGTTACTGGTGTTACTGGTGGCAGCAGTACCTTACTGGTGCCTGTGGCTTGAGCTCCTGGATGCCCGGTGCCTGTTACTGGTGTTTGTTACTGGTGTTACTGGGTTACTGGTGGCAGCAGTACTTACTGGCGCACTTGTGGATGAGCTCCGGATGACCAGGTGCCATGTCCCTGGTTTACCTGGTTGTTACTGGTGTTACTGTGGCAGCAGTACCTTACTGGTGCACTGTGGATGAGCTCCTGGATGCCCAGGTGCCCTGTCACTGGTGTTACTGGTGTTACTGGTGGCAGCAGTACCTTACTGGTGCACTGTGGATGAGCTCCTGGATGCCCAGGTGCCCTGTCACTGGTGTTACTGGTGTTACTGGTGGCAGCAGTACCTTACTGGTGCACTGTGGATGAGTTCCTGGATGCCCAGGTGCCCTGTCACTGGTGTTACTGGTGGCAGCAGTACCTTACTGGTGCACTGGCGCACGGTGTTGATGAGCTCCTGGATGCCCAGGTGCCCTGTCACTGGTGTTACTGGTGTTACTGGTGTTACTGGTGGCAGCAGTACCTTACTGGTGCACTGGCGCACGGTGTTGATGAGCTCCTGGATGCCCAGGTGCCCTGTCACTGGTGTTACTGGTGTTACTGGTGTTACTGGTGGCAGCAGTACCTTACTGGTGCACTGGCGCACGGTGTTGATGAGCTCCTGGATGACGAGGTCGACGCATTTCAGACACGGCTCCTTCAGCTTCACCACCTGCTTCTTCACGATGGCCTCGAAGGCCAAATCCGGCGTGAACAGCCCCGTCCTGGGGGGAGCAGGGAGGTCAGGACCCCGGGAGAGCAGCTCCCTGCTCCTGGAGAGAGCCAGGCCCTCCTCTGGGAGAGCAAATCCCACCTCTGGGAGAGGAATTCCCTCCTCAGGAGAGCCATTCCCTCCTCTGGGAGAGGAATTCCCTCCTCTGGGAGAGCCATTCCCTCCTCGGGAGAGCCATTCCCTCCTCTGGGAGAGCAAATCCCACCTCTGGGAGAGGAATTCCCTCCTCAGGAGAGCCATTCCCACCTCTGGGAGAGGAATTCCCTCCTCTGGGAGAGCCATTCCCACCTCTGGGAGAGGAATTCCCTCCTCAGGAGAGCCATTCCCTCCTCTGGGAGAGCAAATCCCCCCTCTGGGAGAGGAATTCCCACCTCAGGAGAGCAAATCCCACCTCTGGGAGAGCCATTCCCTGCTCTGGGAGAGGAATTCCCTCCTCTGGGAGAGCCATTCCCTCCTCTGGGAGAGGAATTCCCTCCTCTGGGAGAGCCATTCCCCTCCTCCAAGAAAGCAAATCCCACTCTGGGATCACACGAACCACCCCTTAATTCCCTCTAAAATCCAACCAGAACTCCTGGGATTCCCTGGGATCTCCAGGGATCACACGAACCACCCCTTAATTCCCTCTAAAATCCAACCAGAACTCCTGGGATTCCCTGGGACCTCCAGGGATCACACGAACCACCCCTTAATTCCCTCTAAAATCCAACCAACGCCCATTCCCAGCTGCTCCCTCCGGGCTCCCCCCAACCCTGGGAGCCACGGGATGTCCTCCCCCCGGCCTGGGAAGCTCCCCCCACCCCTCTGGAGCAGGGAAGTGGCTCCAGGGAAGGCTCCAGGCTGGATACTTGCCTCACCCCGTGGATGTTCTTGATGGCGTAGCTGATCTCCCGCCTCAGATCCTTCTCGTCGAATTCCATCTGTCCAGGGAGAGAAGGAGCAGTCGGGATCATCCCGGACATGATCCATCCCAGGATGGATCCATCCCACCGCCCCTGGGGCTGCTCTGTTTTATCCACCCCAAATCCTGAGGCTTCCGTGGGATCACGGGATGCTTTGGGTTGGAAAAGCCTCCTTTCCAACCCTTCTCCAAGGCCGCCCCTGAGCCGTGTCCCCGAGTGCCACATCCACAGGCTTTGGGCACTTCCAGGCATGGGCACTCCCCCCCTGCCCCGGGCAGCTGTGCCAGGGCTGCCAAACCCTTCCCAGGCAGCAGTTCTCCCCAAATCCAACCTGAACCCACCCCTGGCACAACTCGAGGCCGTTTCCTCTCGTCCTGTCCCTTGGGAGAAGGGACCAACCCCCCCTGGCTCCACCTCCTTCCAGGGAATTGTGGGGAGCCAGAAGGTCCCCCCGGAGCCTCCTTTTTCCAGGCTGAGCCCTCCCAGCTCCCTCAGCTGCTCCCACGAGTTCTCCAGCCCCTTCTCCTGCTCTCCAGACCCTTCTCCTGTTCTCCATCCCCTTCTCCTGCTCTCCATCCCCTTCTCCTGCTCTCCAGACACTCCTCCTGTTCTCCAGCCCCTTCTCCTGCTCTCCAGACCCTTCTCCTGCTCTCCAGACCTTTCTCCTGTTCTCCAGCCCCTTCTCCTGCTCTCCAGACACTGCTCCTGTTCTCCAGCCCCTTCTCCTGCTCTCCAGACACTGCTCCTGCTCTCCAGACCCTTCTCCTGCTCTCCAGATGCTCATCCTGTTCTCCAGACCCCTCTCCTGTTCTCCAGCCCCTTCTCCCACTCTCCATTCCCTTCTCCCACTCTCCAGCCCCTTCTCTTGCTCTCCAGGGGGGCAGGAGAACACAGAGAAGGGGTGGGAGAACATGGAAAAGGGGTGGGAGAACATGGAAAAGGGGTGGGAGAGCACGGAGAAGGGGTGGAAAACATGAGCTCAGCACCGGCCTCACCTTCACGAGCTCAAAAGGGAATCTCTCGTGGAAGATCCGGTTGATCCGGGCACCCCCGGAGAGCTCCACGGTGTCCACCTGGTCTCCCGAGCCCTCGATCCGCTTCTCAAAGTCCACCCCGAACTGCTGGACCATCCTGGGGGGGAAAAAGAACGGGATGAAAGGGGCTCCCAGATCCCGCCCCGCAGCTGGGCTGGGGAAACAAAACTGCCCCGGTTCCTCCGGCTGGGGAGGGAGAACCGAAATTCCCACTTTTCCTGCTGTCCGGGAGGAGGGTCTGCCAGGGATGGAGGCGGCCAACGCTTCCAATTCCGACAGCAAACCCTTCCCTTCGGAGCAGGCAGGACACGGCAGGCCCGGAATGCTGATCCCGGCCCCCAGGGGTGCTCCGGGGGCATTCCTGGGAGAAGCTTTTCCCCATCCCTCCCCTCTGGAGCTGCAGAGCCCGACCACGTGGCTATTCCAGCTCTTCCCAAGATGGGGAAGAGCAGAAGGAGCGGATTCCCGCTCCGGGAACACTGGGAAAGGCGGGAAGGCAGAGCCCAGAGAGGGGGAGGGCCGAGAGGAACCTACTGCAGCAAAGCTTTGGTTTTCCGCGTGGGATCGTCGGGGCGGAAGTTCTTGTACTCCTCCACCTCCTTCTCCAGGGAAAGCAGCTGGCTCTGGAGTTTGCTGCGCAGCGAGGGCAGCGTCTCCCGGATGTGGTTGGTGAGTTGCTGTGGGAGGGGGGGGACGGAGGAGGACGAGGGGATGGAGGAGGAAGAGGAGGGCGCTGAGCCCAGGAAGGCTCGCGGGGCGGCTCCCGCTTTTCCGGGCGGCTCCCGCTTTTCCGGGCGGGAGGGAGGTGGGGAAGGGCCCGTCCCACCTGGTTGAGGACCCTCTGGAGGTGGGGGGTGCCCATGCGCTCGGCCATGTGCCGGTAGGCCGGGTGGGACAGGAAGAACTTGCGCTCGGCCGCCAGCGCGGCGCGGATGTCCTTCTTGCCGTCGATGTCCTTCTGGCTGCGGTTCACCACCCCGATGTACCCTGGGGGAAAAGGGAGAGGGGTTGGAGGGCACGGAGAGCAGGGAGAAGGGGTGGGAGAACACGGAGAAAGGTGGGAGAGCGTGGAGAAGAGGTTGGGAGAACATGGAGAAGGGGTGGGAGAATGTGGAGAAGGGGTGGGAGAACATGGAGAAGGGGTTGGGAGAATGTGGAGGAGGGTTGGGACAGCATGGAGAAGGGGTGGGAGAACATGGAAGGGGTGGGAGAGCATGGAGAAGGGGTGGGAGAACATTGAGGAGGGTTGGGAGAATGTGGAGAAGGGGTGGGAGAACATGGAGAAGGGGTGGGAGAATGTGGAGAAGGGGTGGGAGAACATGGAGAAGGGGTTGGAGAACATGGAGAAGGGGTTGGGAGGAATGTGGGAGGAGGGTTGGGACAGCATGGAGAAGGGTTGGGAGAACACGGAGAAGGGGTGGGAGAACATTGAGGAGGGTTGGGAGAATGTGGAGAAGGGTTGGGAGAACACGGAGAAGGGGTGGGAGAACACAGAAAGGGGTGGGAGAGCATGGAGAAGGGAATGACATGAGTGTGACACCCAGAGTGACCCAAGGGAGACATGGGGGACACCCTGAGTGACCCAAGGGGCACACAAGGAGTGACCCAAGGGAATGACCTGAGTGTGACACCCAGAGTGACCCCAGGGGGACACGGGGGACACACCCAGAGTGACCCGAGGGGAAGGAGTGACCCAAGGGAATGACCTGAGTGTGATACAGACTGACCCCAGGGGGACACAGGGGACACAAGGGACACCCAGAGTGACCCAAGGGACACCCAGAGTGACCCCAGGGGACACCCAGAGTGACCCCAGGGGGACACAAGGGACACCCAGAGTGACCCCAGGGGGACACAGGGGACACAAGGGACACCCAGAGTGACCCCAGGGACACCCAGAGTGACCCAAGGGGGACACAAGGACACCCAGAGTGACCTGAGGGGGGACACAAGGGACACCCAGACTGACCCCAGGGGGACACAGGGGACACCCAGAGTGACCTGAGGGGGGACACAGGGGACACCCAGAGTGACCCCAGGGGGACACAGGGGACACCCAGAGTGACCCCAGGGGGACACAGGGGACACCCAGAGTGACCCCAGAGGGACACAGGGGACACCCAGAGTGACCCCAGGGGACACAGGGGACACCCAGACTGACCCAAGGGACACCCAGACTGACCCCAGGGGGACACAGGGGACACCCAGAGTGACCCCAGGGGGACACAGGGGACACCCAGACTGACCCAAGGGACACCCAGAGTGACCCCAGGGGGACACAGGGGACACCCAGAGTGACCCCAGGGGACACAGGGGACACCCAGAGTGACCCCAGGGGACACAAGGGACACCCAGAGTGACCCAAGGGACACCCAGAGTGACCCGAGGGGGACACAGGGGACACCCAGAGTGACCCCAGGGGACACAGGGGACACCCAGAGTGACCCCAGGGGACACAGGGGACACCCAGAGTGACCCCAGGGGACACAAGGGACACCCAGACTGACCCAAGGGACACCCAGAGTGACCCCAGGGGACACAGGGGACACCCAGAGTGACCCCAGGCCCCGGGCCCCGCCGTACCTCTCCGTAGGGGCAGCAGTTTGTTCTCCAGCACGTCCCGGGCGTCGGTGCCCTCGTCCATCAGGTCCAGCTTGGTGATGACCCCGATCGTCCGCAGCCCTGCGGCAGCAGAGCCAGCAATCAATCAGTCAATCAATGCCAATTAATCACATCCTAACGAGCCTGGGGGGGGGCGGAACCCAACAGGGACCCACGGCCCCGAGCGCAACCCGAGGATGGGGGGGAGGAGGAGGAAGAGGAGGAGGAAGAGAAGAGGGAAGAGAAGCCCTTTGGCATCAAAATCCATCAGTGGAGAAAGTGGCAGAGAGGAGGAGAACAAGGAGGAGGAGGAGGAGGAGGAGGAAGAGGAGGAGGGAAGAGAAGCCCTTTGGTATCAAAATTGACCAGAAAGTGGCAAAGAGGATGAGAAGGAGAACAAGGAGTAGGAAGAGGAGGAGGAGGAGGAGGAAAGAGAAGCCCTTTGGCATCAAAATTGACCAGTGGAGAAAGTGGAAGAGGAGAAGGAGAACAAGGAGGAGAAGGAAGAGGAGGGAAGAGAAGCCCCTCTGGCACCAAAACCCCACGCCAGCCCCGACACTTCCCAGCTCCTGGGGAGCCCCCCCAGCCCTCTGACCTTGGGGGTCGACCTCCTTGGCCATCTTGAGGGCGTCGGAGTTGGCCAGGTCCATGTTGGCCGGGGTGACGGCCAGGATGAGGCTGCTCTCCCTGCTGATGAACTGCAGGATCATGTCCCTGATCTGGAACTCGATGTCCTGGGGCTGGTCCCCCACCGGCACCTTGGTGATGCCCGGCAGGTCGATCAGGGTCAGGTTCAGCACTGGGGGGGGGCACGGAGGGGGTGCAATCAGGGGGTTGGAGGGGTTTTGGGAAACACCTCTGGGATCGTCCTGACCCCACCTCGGCACCCAGAGCACGGCCCCACATCAAAGGGTGACTCCCCCTCTTCCCTGGGCAGCCCATTCCAAGGCCTGACCACCCTCCCTGGGCAGCCCATTCCAAGGCCTGACCACCCTCCCTGGGAAGGATTTCTCCTGGATGTCCAACCCACAGCTCCAGGCTGTGCCCTCTCATCCAGGGAGCAGAGCCCGACCCTCCCGGCTCCCCCCTCCTCTCAGGGGGTTGCAGAGAGCCAGAAGGTCCCCCCTGAGCCTCCTCCTCTCCAGGCTGAGCCCCCCCAGTTCCCTCAGCTGCTCCAGCCCTTTCCTCAACCCCGTTCCCTTCTCCGGACACGCTCCAGCCCCTCCACACCCTCCCTAAACTGGGCCCAGCACTCGAGGTGAGGCCTCCCCAGTGCCCAGCCCAGGGGCACAACCACCCCCTGCCCCTGCCGGCCCCAGCCCAGCTGGGTGTCCTCCTTTTCCCGGGGTTTTCCCGGGGTTTTCCCGGGGTTTTCCCAGCGGGAGGAGCCCCGGGGGGGAGGGATCCCCTCACCGTGGGGCGAGTAGACGCGCAGGTTGATGGGCACGGGGGAGATGCCCTTGTTGGTGCCCGTCACCCGGTCGGTCTCCGCCTCGATCTCCTGCCGCACCTCGTCGAAGTCCGTGAACTTCTTGGATTTGCAGTGCAGGAACTCGGCATATTCTGGAAAAGGAGCGGGGACAGACCTGGAAAACGGGGAACTGCCGGCACCTCCGGCACAGGGAAGGGGAGCGCCGGGTCTGAGAGATCCTGATCCGGGGATGGAGAGGGGAGAAGGGGATGGAGAACGTGGAGAAGGGGCTGGAAAGTGGGAGAGGGGGATGGAGAACGTGGAGAAGGGGATGTAGAGTGGGAGAGTTGGAGAAGGTGGCAGGAGAAGGGGTGGAGAGGGAAGATGGAGAGCAGGAGAAGGGGCTGGAGAACAGGAGCAGTGTCTGGAGAGCAGGAGAAGGGGCTGGAGAACAGGAGAAGGGTCTGGAGAGCAGGAGAAGGGGCTGGAGAACAGGAGCAGTGTCTGGAGAGCAGGAGAAGGGGCTGGAGAACAGGAGCAGTGTCTGGAGAGTAGGAGAAGGGGATGGAGAGCAGGAGCAGTGTCTGGAGAGCAGGAGAAGGGGCTGGAGAACAGGAGCAGTGTCTGGAGAGCAGGAGAAGGGGCTGGAGAACAGGAGAAGGGTCTGGAGAGCAGGAGAAGGGGCTGGAGAACAGGAGCAGTGTCTGGAGAGCAGGAGAAGGGGCTGGAGAACTCGTGGGAGCAGCTGAGGGAGCTGGGAGGGCTCAGCCTGGAAAAAGGAGGCTCCGGGGGGACCTTCTGGCTCCCCACAATTCCCTGGAAGGAGGTGGAGCCAGGGGGGGTTGGTCCCTTCTCCCAAGGGACAGGACGAGAGGAAACGGCCTCGAGTTGTGCCAGGGGTGGGTTCAGGTTGGATTTTGGGAGAACTGCTGCCTGGGAAGGGTTTGGCAGCCCTGGCACAGCTGCCCGGGGCAGGGGGGGAGTGCCCATCCCTGGAAGTGCCCAAAGCCTGTGGATGTGGCACTCGGGGACACGGCTCAGGGGCGGCCTTGGAGAAGGGTTGGAAAGGAGGCTTTTCCAACCCAAAGCGTCCCGTGATTCCCTGACCCCACCAGCTTCCTGGAGAAGTGACAGTGTGTCTCTGCAGACAGCGGGATCACAGTGGGATCACGGCTCCCTGGATCCTGGATCCACCCCAGGAAGAGGGATTTCAACAGATCAGGGGCCAGGATGGTGCAACTTCCTTCCTCCTTCCCTGGGCAGGGGGTGGGGAGGGAGGGAAAACCCCACCCTGTGCCAGGGCTGGAATATCCAGGACTCCTCATCCTCCTGGACACCTCCTCCCCCATCCCAGAGATCTTATCCCTCATCCTGGACACCTCATCCCCCACCCCAGGAGTTCTTATCCCCCATCCCATCAGCCAAAGGCCACGAGACCGGTTTTTCCCAACCCCTCCCCTCCGCTCCCAGGCCCTGGGAATCCCTGGAATTCCCTGGACAGGTCACTGGGAACAAAGGTCAGCAGAGGCTGCGGAGCAGGACTGACCAAATCCAGGATTTTGGGCAGAGCAAGGGCCCGGCTGGTGCAGGGAAAAGGGATGAAGGAACTGCCTGAGGAGATCGGGTTGGGAAAATGAGTCATCCCTTGGTGTTCCCTGGCATTCCTTCAGCCCCTGTGGAATTCCCTGGCACTCCTTCAGCCCCCGTGGAATTCCCTGGCACTCCTTCAGCCCCCGTGGAATTCCCTGGCACTCCTTCAGCCCCCGTGGAGTTCCCTGGCGTTCCTGGCTCTGATGTGTGTAAAAACCAGCGGGAATTCCCTGTTTTCCAGCCCTGTACCTGTCTTGGAGAAGATGAGCTGCAGGATGAGAGGCCGGCGAGTGACAATTCCAGAGCCGCGGGGAAGGAAATCCCTGGAAAGGGAGGAAAAGGGGTTCAGGGACGTGGGTCAGTGAGGGAATGGATCCAGCTGATCCCCCCCCCGATCCTGGGGGGCACTGGGAAGGACGGGAGGGGGTCGGGCACGCGTGGGATCGGTCCCTGCTCTCCTGGAGGAGGGAAAAGGATGTTCCCGGGAACGGGGAATTAAAGCAGGAATTAAATCAAGACCCAGAAACTTCAAGGCCTGCTGGGTTTTAACACCTCAATAATCCAGAGGGGGAAAAACCTCAGTGGAGGGATGAACCCACCACTGCCTCTTCATTCCCTAAAATCCCACAGTCTCACCCCGTTTCCCTAAAAATCCCCCCCGTGAAGAGCAAAACAAGGCACAGATCCCACAGAATTCCTCTGGCATCGGTGCCTGGAGCTCTGGGGGGGAGGGAATTCTGCCTGGCAAAGGTGCTGCCCCGATGGGAAGTTGGGATCAGGGCTGGCACCGCCCCCTTCCCGAGCCGAGGGCGCCGGGAATGGGACGGGGAAGCTCCTTCCTGCTGGGAAAGGGAAGCGATAAGAGCTCCCGGGGCAGCTCCCGGGGCAGCTCCGGGCGGATTTACGGCTCCAGGGGGGAGAGAACAGGTGGAATCTCCGCTGGGCACGGAGGGTGGCACCGGAGGGTGGCACCGGCACCGCGCCCAGGGAGCGGCTCCTGGCCGGGAATGACCCGGCCTGGACGTCAGCGGGGTCGGGAATGACAGCGGGGACATCCCGATCCCGATATCCTGATCCCGATATCCTGACCCCGATATCCTGACCCCGACATCCTGATCCCGACATCCCGATCCCGACATCCTGACCCCGACATCCTGACCCCGATATCCTGACCCTGATATCCTGACCCCGATATCCTGACTCTGACATCCTGACCCTGATATCCTGATCCCGATATCCTGACCCCGATATCCTGACTCTGACATCCTGACCCTGATATCCTGATCCCGACATCCTGACCCCGATATCCTGACCCTGATATCCCGATCCCGACATCCCGATCCCGACATCCTGACCCCGACATCCTGACCCCGACATCCTGATCCCGACATCCTGACCCCGACATCCTGACCCTGATATCCTGATCCCGATATCCTGACCCTGATATCCTGATCCCGACATCCTGATCCTGACATCCTGACCCCGATATCCTGACCCCGATATCCTGACCCCGATATCCTGACCCTGATATCCTGATCCCGACATCCTGATCCTGACATCCTGACCCTGATATCCTGACCCTGATGTCCTGACCCTGATATCCTGACCCTGATATCCTGACCCTGATATCCTGACCCCGATATCCTGACCCTGACATCCTGATCCCAACATCCTGATCCCGACATCCTGACCCTGATATCCTGACCCTGATGTCCTGACCCTGATATCCTGACCCTGATATCCTGATCCCGACATCCTGACCCCGACATCCTGACCCCGACATCCTGACCCCGACATCCTGATCCCGATATCCTGATCCCGACATCCTGATCCTGACATCCTGACCCTGATATCCTGACCCTGATGTCCTGACCCTGATATCCTGACCCTGATATCCTGACCCTGATATCCTGACCCCGATATCCTGACCCTGACATCCTGATCCCAACATCCTGATCCCGACATCCTGACCCTGATATCCTGACCCTGATGTCCTGACCCTGATATCCTGACCCTGATATCCTGATCCCGACATCCTGACCCCGACATCCTGACCCTGACATCCCGATCCTGACATCCTGACCCTGACATCCTGACCCTGATATCCTGACCCTGATATCCTGACCCCGTCACCCCGACCCCGACATCCCGACCCCAACATCCCAACCCCGATATCCCGACCCCGACACCCCAATCCCAACATCCCAACCCCGACACCCCAATCCTGACATCTCAATCCTGACATCTCAATCCTGACATCCCAACCCCGATATCCCGACCCCGTCACCCCGACCCCAACATCCCAACCCCGACATCCCAACCCCGACACCCCAATCCCAACATCCCAATCCCGACACCCCAATCCCGACACCCCAATCCTGACATCCTGACCCCGACCCCGCAGCCTCAAGGGCAAACCCCGATCCCTTGTCCTGAGCAGCCCCCGGAATGTGGGTTTATCTCCCCGGAAAAGCACTTCCTGCCCAACCGGGAGGACAAGTCCCGGGGAAAGGCCCCGGGACGGCCCCGGGGCGGCTCCCAGAGGGAAAAAAGGGGGAAAGAAACCCCAGGGGAGGCCCCAAAACCAGCCCCGAGGCCCCGCCGAGCCCGGGGTGAGGAGCGTTGGTCCCACAGGGAACGCTGGTCCCACAGGGAATGCTGGTCCCACAGGGAATGTTGGTCCCACAGGGAATTCTGGTCCCACAGGGAATTCTGGTCCCACAGGGAATGTCGGTCCCAGGGTGACCCCCCTGGATCCAACCCCCTCGGCTGTGCTGCTCCCTTCTCCCAGCCCCAACTCCAGGGATAAGGAGGGGACCCCCCCGGCATTCCCGAGGTTGGGAGGGGGTGACGAGGAGCACCCCCGGGGCGTTCCCTGCGGGAAGGAGGTGACGTGGGTGTCACGGAGCTCCGGGCGGCCCCGTGTCCGGGGTCGGCAGGATCCTGGCCCCGGAGTGACGTGGGAACGGCTCCGGGACAAACCCCGCGGTGACGTGGGAGCGGCCCCGGGAGCGGGAATGGCCCGGGAAGGCTCCCGGGGCCGGCGGGAGCTGCCGAAGGCGCGCCCGGATCCTCCCTCCCCCCTGGATCCAGGTGTGCCCGGGGAAAAAGGGACACGGGGACAAAGGGACAAAGGGCACAGGGTGGAGGAAGCGCCTTGGGAACATCCCGTTCCCAGGGAAGTGTCACCTGGGGAAGCACCTGAGCGCGGCCGAGGCCCTGCCTGATCCCTGCCTGACTCCTGCCTGGCCCTGCTTGTCCTTGCCTGGTCCCTGCCTGTCCCTGCTCATCCCTACCTGATCCCTGCCTGATCCCTGCCTGTCCCTGCTCATCCCTACCTGATCCCTGCCTGATCCCTGCCTGACTCCTGCTCATCCCTGCCTGTCCCTGCCTGATTCCCACCTGACTCCTGCCTGTCCCTGCTTGTCCCTGTCTGATCCCTGACTGTCCTTCCATGTCCTTGCCTGATCCCTGCCTGTCCCTGCTTGCCCCTACCTGATCCCTGCCTGATTCCTACCTGACTCCTGCCTGTCCCTGCTTGCCCCTACCTGATCCCTGTCTGATTCCTGCCTGTCCCTGCCTGATCCCTGCCCGTCCTTCCATGTCCCTGCCTGATCCCTGCCTGTCCCTGCCTCATCCCAGCCCCTTCCCTCTCCGATCCCAAGCTCCCGCTGACCTTGCCAGCTCCTCCCCAGCGGCCCCACCCGTGGCACCTCTTACCCAAAATCCAGGGAAAAGACAACTCCGAGTCCCCGGGAAGAGCCCCCCTCCCGCTGTGCCCCGTTCCCCGGGTCTCTCCCACCTCCCAGTTCCCTTCAGCTCCACTTCCAGCCAGATCTTCCACTGGGAAACAATTCCCCGCTCCCGTTCCCGGCTCAATTCCCGTTCCTCTGGTGATCATCCCTCCAAACCCACTCTGGATTCACCCCCAGACCCCTCCAACGCAGCTCCACCAGATCCAGGGGGATTTTCCCGTGGGAAATCCCTCGGGATGGGTCGCTGCCACCTCCATCCTCCCGTGGGACGGAGTCCTCCCTCCGGCTCCAAATCCCAGCCGGAGCCACCGCCCCCAAATCCTGGGGTTTGCCACCACTCCGGGGCCTCCGAGGCACTTCAGGGAGCGTCTCCAGCATCCCGGCGGGAACGGGGACGCTCCCAGGGCGGGATGAGGATTCCCGGCCATGTCCACTCCCCAATCCCGGCTTTCTCCTCGGCCCGGCCACCCCGGGGGCTCATAATGCCCCATTGAGGTCGGGATCCGCCGGGATCATCCCCACCCCCGGCCCACAACGGCTCCATTGTCCCCGGGGCCGGAGACGGCTCCGGGAAGGGCCCGGCCGGCGGGATTTGTGGGAGCGGGGCCGGGACGAGGCTCCACGCGGGGCTCCGGGGGCTGATCCCGCTCACGATCCCGTTTCCCTGCCGGGCTCCGAGCCCTCCGTGCCCCTCCCGTTAAACCGGAGCATCGTGGCTCTCCCGGCCCCACCGGCCGGGCCCTTCCCCACGGAGCAATTCCAGCCCAACTGGGCGGATTCAGGGATCCAGAGCGTTCCCTGAATCCCAATCCCGGGTCCCTCCGCAGGGATTCGGAGCTCTGAAGGCTCCTCGGGATCTTCCTCCCGGGCACGGGGGTGTTTTGGGGCTAAAAACCACCAAAACGGGGCCACGGCGCAGATGTGGGTTCCCAACGTGGAGCCAGGTTCCCAACAGGGATCCAAATTCCCAATATGGATCCAGGTTCCCAACACAGATCCAGGACCCCAACACAGATTCAGGTTCCCAACACAGATCCAGGTTCCCAACAGGGATCCAGGTTCCCAACACAGATCCAGGATCCCAACACAGACCCAGGTTCCCCACATGGATCCAAATTCCCAGTATGGAACCAGGTTCCCAACACAGATCCAGGACCCCAACACAGATCCAGGTTCCCAACAGGGATCCAGGTTCCCAACACAGATCCAGGCTCCCCACACGGATCCGAATTCCCAATACAGATCCAAATTCCCAACACAGATCCAGGCTCCCAACACAGATCCAGGTTCCCAACACAGATCCAGGCTCCCCACATGGATCCAAATTCCCAATATGGATCCAGGCTCCCAACACAGATCCAGGTTCCCTACACGGATCCGGGCTCCCCACACGGATCCAAATTCCCAACACAGATCCAGGTTCCCAACACAGATCCAGGCTCCCCACACGGATCCAGGCTCCCCACACGGATCCAGGCTCCCCACACGGATCCAAATTCCCAATATAAATCCAGGCTCCCAACACAGATCCAGGCTCCCCACATGGATCCAGGTTCCCCACACGGATCCAAATTCCCAACACAGATCCAGGTTCCCAACACAGATCCAGGCTCCCCACATGGATCCAGGTTCCCCACATGGATCCAGGCTCCCCACATGGATCCAGGCTCCCCACACGGATCCAGGCTCCCCACACGGATCCAGGCTCCCCAGCGGCTCAGAAAAGCCAGGATCCAGCTCCAAGAGCTGCCCGGACGGGGCAGCCGAGCCAATCCAACCCCCCCCCATCGATCCCGGCTCGATGGATCCGCGTGGCCGGAACAGCCCCGAGGCCTCGGCTCGTCCCGGCCGTCGGAATCCGCCGCCCATCCCGGAGAAACGCTCGATGGGGCCGGCCTGGGACACACTCCAGGGGCAGAAATCCCGAAATTCCCCCCTCACGGGTGGGATAACGACCCCCGGCCCGATTCCCAAGGATCCCAATGGATTGAGGAGCCGGGGTGCCGGACATGCCGAGGGGTAATTAGCTGTAATTAGCACAACCTGCCCAACGAGGTGGGCGAGGATTCCCGGATGGAGCCGACCCGGCAGATCCGGCCTCCGACTCCGACCCCTCAACGCTCCGGCACAAAGGCTTTAATTACCAGGGGTGGTAATTAGAGGCTGCCAAAATTCCCACCGGCAGGAATTCAGGAGGGGGAATAACTCCACTGTCTGCACCCCCACTGCTCCTCTCCCTCCCTCCCACCGCGCTGGAAAAGCTGGAAGAGCCCAACTCCAGGGTGTGAATCCGACCTGTGCCGGGATAGGAGGGCGGGAAAAGGGACACGCAGAGCAGCCCGGGACAGCGGGAAAATCCCGGGGGGGGTTTTTTGGGAATGTTAAGGTTCAGGGGAGGGGACATCCCGGCTGTTGGTGTTCCGGGATCCCTCGGCAGGATGTGGACGGAGGAAGAGGCAGCCCCGGATGGAGGGGCAGGAGAGGACGGGAGGGAAGAGCGGGAGTCGGGAATCGGGAGCAAAGAGCAGGACTCGGCTCCGCATGGATGGAGAGAGAGCCCGAGGGCCGCGGGAGCTGAGCCAGGAACGGGGGCAGGGACGGGAAGGAAAAGGGTCGGGAAGGAAAAGGGTCGGGAAGGAAAAGGGTCGGGGAAGCGGCGGCTCCACTGGCGGTGCCAGTTTGGGGGGTCTGGGGGGGATTTGGGGAGGATCGGGGGTGGATTTCGGGAGGATGTGGGGAGGATACGGGGAGAATTTGGGGTGGATTTGGGGAGGATGTGGGAAGGATTTGGGGAGGATCTGGAGAGGATCTGGGGGGGATTTGGGGTGGATTTGGGGAGGATTTTGGGAGGATGTGGAGAGGATCTGGGGAGGATTTGGGGAGGACCTGGAGAGGATTTCAGGAGGACGTGGGGAGGATTTGGGGAGGATCTGGGGGGATTTGGGGGGGATTTGGGGAGGATTTTGGGAGGATGTGGAGAGGAGCGGGGGATTTGGGGAGGACCTGGAGAGATTTATGTGGGGGGGCGTGGGGGGGGGGGGGGGGGAGGATTTTTGGGAGGATGTGGGAAGGATTTGGGGAGGATCTGGGGAGGATTTGGGAAGGATGTGGGGAGGATGTGGGGAGGATTTGGGGAGGATTTGGGGAGGATCTGGGGAGGATCTGCAGAGGATCTGGGGTGAATTTGGGGAGGATCTGAAGAGGATCTGGGGAGGACTTAGGGAGGATCTGAGGAGGATCTGGAGAGGATCTGGGAAGGATTTGGAGAGGATCTGAGAAAGGATCTGGGGAGGATTTGGGGAGGATGGGGGGAGGATCCTTCCCCCTGGCTGGGCAGGACGGGCTCTGCTCCCCGTTATCAGAACAGCCCCACCCTGCCTGGGTGTGTGGGGGCCTCGTCTGGTCCCACCCAGAGCCCCATCTGTGCCCGGGATCCCCGATCCCATCCCGCTCCAGGGGCTCGGCCCTCTCTTGGGGACACACGGCCCCGACCTGTCTCGGGGGCCAGGGGATGGGTCCTGGTGGGGTGGGCTGGGCTGGGGCACCCCCGTGTCCGTGGAGACCCCCTGTGTCCATGGAAATCCCCTGTGTCCATGGAAAGCCCCTGTGTCCATGGAGCCCCCGGTGTCTGTGGAAACCCCCTGTGTCCATGGAGCCCCCCCTGTGTCCGTGGAAACCCCCTGTGTCCATGGAGCCCCCGGTGTCTGTGGAAACCACCTGTGTCCATGGAACCCCCCTGTGTCCGTGGAACCCCTCCCTGTGTCCGTGGAAACCCCTGTGTCCATGGAAACCCCCTGTGTCCGTGGAAACCCCCTGTGTCCATGGAACCCCCTCTGTCCATGGAACCCCCTGTGTCCATGGAACCCCCCTGTGTCCGTGGAAACCCCCTGAGTCCATGGAGCCCCCCCTGAGTCCATGGAGACCCCCCTGAGTCCATGGAGACCCCCAGAGTCCCCTGTTCCCACGGAGACCCCCGTGCCCGTGGAATCCTTCGTGTCCGTAGAACCCTCCCTGTCCATGAAACCCTCCATATCCATGGGACCCCTCATATCCATGGAACCCTCCATGTCCATGGAAAACCTCCCCCCTTGTGCACGGAACCCTCCATATCCATGGAACCCTCCATATCCATGAACCCCCCCCCGTGTCCATGGAACCCCTCATATCCATGGAAGCCTCCATATCCATGGAAAACCTCCCCCCTTGTGCACGGAACCCTCTATATCCATGGAACCTCCCCTTGTGCACGGAACCCCCCATATCCACGGAACCCTCCATATCCATGGAACCCCCCCGTGCCCACGGAACCCCCCATATCCACGGAACCCTCCATATCCATGGAACCCCCCCGTGCCCACGGAACCCTCCGTTCCCACGGAGACCCCCGTGCCCACAGAGCCTCCCGCGTCGCCGGAGCCGCCCCTGCCCCTTTCCCTTACGCCATTTCCGTACTGCCCCCCCTCCCCTCCTTCCCCTCCCCTCCTTCCCCTCCCCTCCCTCCCCCCGCGCAGCGCTCGGGGCCCGTCGCGCCCTTTGCGCACCTTTTGCGCCCCTTTTGCGCACTTTGCGCAGCGCGGGCCCCGCTCGCCGCGGCCGCGCCCTTCGGGAAGGCGGCGGGGGCGCGACCCGCGACTCGGCCTCTTTAACCCCCCCGGCTCCTCCCCCGCCGTCCCCCCGGAGCTCACCGGCCCACGAAGTTCTCGAGCACCGAGCTCTTGCCCGCGCTCTGCCCGCCCACCACGGCGATCTGCGGCAGGTCGAGGTGGCAGCTCTGGCCGATGGAGCTGAAGGCGTCCTGCAGCTTGTTGACCAGCGGGATGAGCTCCTCCATGCCGCGGTTCCCCATGGCGGGGCCGGGAGCGGCGGCGGCTCCTCCTCGCGGGGCCCGGGGCGGCGGCGGCGGCGGCGGCCAAACTTCCCCTCAGAGTCTCGCCATCCGGGCCCGCCCCCCGCCCCGCCAGCGCCGTCGCCATTGGCCGGCCCGGCTGTCCGTCAAGCAGGCGCGCCGAGCTGAGTGGGGCTGCGCGCTGCCAATCATCTCGGAGGGCGGGTGGAGAAGCGCCAGCCCTTTCTTTATTGGACGTGCGCCGCGTCGCTCATGATTCCCAGCCAATGGGAGCCGCGTCAGCTGAGGGGAATAGCGGTGTAGTCCCGCCTCGCTGCGGCGGTTCTGCTGTTTCATTAGTGGAAAGGGCAGCCGCTCAGAAGCGAGGGCCAATCACCGCTCAGGACACGCGGAGGAGCCCGCCCGCCTCTCTTCACCCCGCCCTCTCTCCCATTGGACAGCACGACCGCCACTCTAACCGGGCTGACCACCCCGGAGGCGGAGAAGAGAAAATGCCCCTCGCGATTCGCCAGTCAGATGTCAATCAGCAAGCTCTTCCCACTGATTGGCTGTTGAGGCGCTTTCCGCCCTCCCCGGGCACGTCCCTGGGACGATTATACGCGCACAAAGAGCGACACTCCGAAGGCGAAGCCTCGGGGCCGAGTCCCCACCACGTACCCTGAGAGGCCACCCCGGTGAGGGCAGCAGAGCCCATTCCTGTTGTTTGCAGGCCGGAGTGAGGGGGAAGTGTCTCTGAGGTTGGACCCTCACAACAGGGCCCAACATGGCGCCCGCGTTGCCCCGGTAACGGCCACTTCCTGCGGCACTTCCGGCCGGTGAGCCCAAGATGGCGGCGCCCATGGCGGGCGCCGGGCCGGGGCCGCTCCCGGTGCTTCGGGTCGTGGCCGAGTGCGGGCGAAGCCGCGCCCGGGCCGGGGAGCTGCGGCTGCCGCGGGGGACCGTGCCCTGCCCCGTCTTCATGCCCGTGGGCACCCGCGGCACCGCCAAGGGCCTCACGGCCGCGCAGCTGGCGGCGCTGGGCTGCCGCATCTGCCTCGGCAACACCTTCCACCTGGGCACGAGGCCGGTGAGCGGCGACGGGGGAGGCAAGGGGGGGCTGGAGGGGGGGAGTCCGTTCCCAGACCACCCCCTGACGTGATTCCCAAGCTCCAGGTGACCCCTTTTCCCCCGGCAGGGCCCGGAGCTGATCCGGCGTTCCGGGGGCCTCCACGGATTCATGGACTGGCCCCACAACCTGCTGACGGTGAGGGGGGGGTGGGAACCCCCCTACTTTTGGGGGGGGGACACCCCCGGGACACCCAACCCCAGGGGCTCCTTGACCCCTCCCCCCAATTTTGGGTCTCCCCCCCACCCAAATAACTGGGCTGAGGGGGTTTCTGTGCCCCCCCCTCCCCAATTTTGGGTGTGTCCCCCCCCCAGGACAGCGGGGGGTTCCAGATGGTGTCCCTGGCGCAGCTGTCGGAGGTGTCGGAGGAGGGGGTTCTGTTCCGACCCCCCCACGGGGGGGACGAGATCCTGCTGAGCCCGGAGAAATCCATCGAGATCCAGAACGCCCTGGGTGAGCTGGGGGGGGGGGCAAAATCCAAGGGGGGGGAATCCCAGGACCCCCACAATCCCCCCTTGGATCCCTGCCAGGGCCCTGAACCCTCAAAATCCCCTCAGCACACCCCCCCTAGGGCCCTGACCCCCCAAATCTAAGGGAGGGGTCCTAAAATCCAAGAGGGCTGTCCCAGGACATCCCCAACCCCTCCTTGTCCCCCCTGACCCCCCAAATCCAAGGAGGGGAGGGCCCAAAATCCAAGGGGGTTTCCCAGAGCACCCCCAACCCCTCCTTGCCCCCCCTGACCCCCCAAATCCAAGGAGGAGGGCCCAAAATCCATGGGGTGGGGGGGTGGTGTCCCAGGACGCCCCCAACCTCCCCCCGGGTTCCTGAACCCCCAAATCCCAAAGAAGGGCTGTCCCAGCAGACCCCCAACACCACCCCCCAGAACCCTTACGCCCCCAAATCCAAGGGAGGGGGCCCAAAATCCAAAGGGGGGGTCCCAGGTTCCCCCTAACCCCCTCGTGCACCCCCCAGGCGCCGATATCGTGATGCAGTTGGACGACGTCGTGAGCAGCACCACGACGGGGCCGCGGGTGGAGGAGGCCATGGACAGGTGGGAACCCCCCCAGGGACCCCCCTGGGACCCCCCTGGGCCCTCAGGGACCCCCCCCCCGACCCCCCCTCTCCCCGTGCCCCCCCCCAGGTCCGTGCGGTGGCTCGATCGCTGCGTGGCCGCTCACGCGCGCCCGGGGGAGCAGCTGCTCTTCGCCATCATCCAGGGGGGGCTGGAGCCCGCCCTGCGCCAGCGCTGCATCCAAGGTGGGGCCTTCCTCGGCACCAGCATCACCCTCAGCATCATCCTCACCCCCCCCACCTTCCTCACTCTTCCTGTTCTCACCCCATCCCTGGCAGGGGGTGGGTCCGGGGGGGACTCTGGGGTGTCTGCAGGAGGTTCGGGGGTCCTGGGGAGGTTCAGGGGGGGTCCAGAGGGGTTCAGAGGGATCTGGGGAGGTTCAGGGGGGTCCAGAGGGGTTCAGAGGGATCTGGGGGGGTTCAGGGGGATCCGGGGGGGGTGTTCAGGACAGTCCAAGGGGGTTCAGAAGAGGGTTTAGGGTGCTCAGGGCAGTCCAGGGGGGTTCAGGACAGTCAGGGGGGCCTAAGGAGGGCTTAGGGGGCTCAGGGGGGTATAGGGGGTTCAGGGCAGTCTGGGGGGCTTCAGGGCAGTCTGGGGGGGCTCAGGGGGGTATAGGGGGTTCAGGGCAGTCTGGGGGGCTTCAGGGCAGCCTGGGGGGGCTCAGGAGGGTATAGGGAGTTCAGGAGGGTTTGGGGGATTCAGGACAGTCTGGGGGGGGCTCAGGAGGGTTTTGGGTGTTCAAGGCGGTCCAGGGGGGCACAGGGTGGCCCGGAGGTGCTCAGGGGGGTCCATGGGGGTCTCACAGCCCCCCCCCATCCTCAGCCATGACCCAGCGGGACGTGCCGGGCTTTGCCATCGGGGGCCTGAGCGGGGGCGAGGACAAGGGGCGGTTCTGGCGCGCGGTGAAGTTCAGCGCCGAGCGCCTGCCCCGGGACAAGCCCCGGTACCTCATGGGCGTCGGGTGAGTGACTCCGGGGGGGGATTTGTCACTCCTGCCACCTGCCCCTGCCCCCCCCCAGGGCGGGGGAGACCCCCCGAGTCACCCCCTGTCCCTGATTTCCCCCCCCTCCCACAGCTACGCCACCGACCTGGTGGTTTGCGTGGCGCTGGGCTGTGACATGTTCGACTGCGTGTTCCCCACCCGCACCGCGGTAAGGGGGCTCTGGGGGGGGGGTTAGGGGACCCCAGGGGGGCTCTGGGGGGGGGTTAGGGGACCCCCGTGCCCCTCCCCTCCCGAGGGACCCCCTTGACCTGCCCCTCCCCGCGCCCCCCGGCAGCGTTTCGGCTCCGCCCTGGTGCCCTGGGGGTCCCTGCAGCTCAAGAACCAACAGTTCGCCAAAGATTTCCGCCCCATCGACGAGGACTGCGCCTGCCCCACGTGCCAGAGGTGGGCTGGGGGGGTCCAAGGAGGGTCCAAGGGGGGTGTTTAAGGGGTCTGGGGGGGTCTGACCCCCCTCGGTGCCCCCCCCAGGCACAGCCGGGCCTACCTGCACGCGCTGCTCCGCTCCGAGACGGCCGCGCTGCATCTGCTCACCCTGCACAACGTCGCCTACCAGGTGGGGCCGGGGGGGTTTGGGGTGAGGGGGGGGGGTCTCTGGGGGTCTCACCCCCCCTCTAACGCCCTCCCCTGGCCCCCCCCTTTCGCTGGCAGATGAAGCTGATGGGCTCCATCCGGGAGAGCATCCTGAGGCAGCGCTTCCCGGAGTTCGTGCGGGAGTTCATGGACACCATGTACGGGGGGCGGGGGGGGGCCCCCGCCTGGGTGAGGGAGGCTCTGGCCTCTGTGGGCATCACCCTGGACTGACAGGGAACCCCCCCAATCCCAGGGGGACCCCCAGACCCCCCCTATGGTCCCCAATCCCTGGGGGGACACTCAGTGCCCCCCCGTGCCCCCCATTCCCTGGGGGGACACCCAGTGCCCCCCCGTGCCCCCTAATCCCTGGGGAACCCCCCCAGACCCCTCTATGCCCCCCCAGCCCCACTCGTGCCCCCCAATCCTTGGAGGGACCCCTACTCCTCCCCCCATGCCCCCCAGTTCCTGGGAGGCCCCCCCCATCTCCCCCCTCTTTTGTGTGTCCCCCCCCCGTGTATTTTTATATTTTTTATGTGGTTTTTTTACTGCTTTGGGGTTTTTTAAGGGAGGGGGGGAAATAAAGAGTTTGGGGGGAACAGCTCGTGTGGCTCTGAGTGGGTCTGGGGAGCCCAAATGGGTCTGGGGGGCCCAGATGGGTCTGGGGGGCCCAAATGGGTCTGGGGGACACATTTTGGGAACTCAGGAGTGTTGGGGGGGGGAAGAGGAGGTGACTGTGGGGACCCTCAGGGGTCCCAGGGCTGTGGGAGGGAATGGGGGGGGATTTCCAGTGGGGCCATTCCCATTCTCAGTGACCCTTTGGATGTGCTGGGAGGTGACAGTGACGGACCAGGACCCCCCTCAGCGTTGGGGGGGCACAGGGGGGGTCCCTTGAGGGTCTGGAGACTTGGGGGGGCTGTTCTGGGGGTCCCTGGGGAGGTGGATCCCTTGGGAGGTGGATCCCTTGGGAGGTGGATCTCCTGGGAGGTGGGTCCAGGGGGTCTCAGCCCTTGGACAGGGGGGTCCATATGGGGGTCGGGGGGTCCATATGGGGGTCGGGGGGGTCCATATGGGGGTCGGGGGGTCCATATAGGGGTCGGGGGGGTCCATATGGGGGTCGGGGGGGTCCATATAGGGGTCGGGGGGGTCCATATGGGGGTCGGGGGGTCCATATGGGGCTCAGGGGGCTGGACCAGCCCCCCTTCCTGCACCCACCAGCCCCGTTTTCGTCGGGTTGGGGGTCACCCCGTTGGCAGGGCCGGGGTGACAACGTGGCCGGGTCACCTGTGCGGTGGCACCTGCACGGCCACGGTGACACCGGTGTGGCCACGGTGACACCTGTGTGGTGACACCGGCGTGGTGACACCGGTGTGGTGACACCTGTGTGGTGACACCGGCGTGGTGACACCGGTGTGGTGACACCGGCGTGGTGACATCTGCGAGGTGCCACCGGCGTGGCCGCAGGAGGAAGTTTGAGGAGGGATTGGAAGGGGTGGGGTCCCGGCGAGCGGGAAGGGGGACCGAGGGGGGTTTGGGGGTGGGGTCAGGGCCGGGCGTGGCACCTGCGTCACCTGTGCCCGCTCATTTCTGGCGGCCACCGCGGCCACTGAGCCAGTGCCACCCGGGCCGGGATACTGGGAGCCACTGGGAAGGGCTGGGAGCCACTGGGACTTGCTGTGAGTGACCGGGACACACTGGGAGCCACTGGGAAAGGGTGGGAGCAGCTCCTGGGGTTAACTGGGAGACACTGGGAAGGGCTGGGAGCCACTGGGACTCGCTGTGAGTGACCGGGACACACTGGGACATACTGGGAAAGGGTGGGAGCAGCTCCTGGAACGGAGACTGGGACACACTGGGACACACTGGAAAGGGCTGGAACAGCACCTGGGGTTAACTGGGAGATACTGGGAGTAACTGGGAAAGCAATGGGCAGCTCCTGGAATTGAGAGACACTGGGAGTGACTGGGAAAGGCAATGGGCAGCTCCGGGAATTAACTGGGAGACACTGGGAGTAATTGGGAAAGGCAATGGGCAGCTCCGGGAATTAACTGGGAGACACTGGGAATGACTGGGAAAGGCAATGGGCAGCTCCGGGAATTAACTGGGAGACACTGGGAATGACTGGGAAAGGCAATGGGCAGCTCTGGGAATTAACTGGGAGACACTGGGAGTGACTGAGGGAACTGGGAAGGACTGGGAAAGGCCGAACTCTGCACGTGGGCAAACTGGGCAGAACTGGGCAAAGGCTGTGCGGCAAAACCAGAGGGATGAACTGGAAAAGCCCTGGGGTGAACTGGGAGAACTGGGCAGAGCTGGACTCAGCCCCGGGACCCCCGTGGCTCCCCTGAGACCCCCAACTGGTTGGACTGGTGGAACTGGCCGGGCCCCAGCGGTGCCTCCCGCCCTTATCACGGCCGGCGGGGCCTTATCAGGACCTGGAGAGGGAGGGGGGGGAGAGGGGGGACCCTGGAACAGGGGTGGGGAGGGGGGGTCACCCAGGGAGGGACCCCCCACACTGCGGGAGGGGGAGAGGGGGGGAGGGGGGACCCTGGCACAGGGGTGGGGAGGGGGGGTCACCCAGGGATGGACCCCCACCCACTGGGGGAGGGGGAGAGGGGGGGAGAGGGGGGACCCTGGAACAGGGGAGGGGAGGGGGGGTCACCCAGGGACCCCCCACACTGCGGGAGGGGGAGAGGGGGGACCCTGGAACAGGGGAGGGGAGGGGGGGTCACCCAGGGACCCCCCACACTGCGGGAGGGGGTGGTGGGCAGGGGGAGAGGGTGGGTGAGGAGAGAGGGGGGGCTTGGGTGCCCAGCAAGTGGGGGGGTGGGCACTGTGGGGGGGTCTGGGTGCTGTGGGAGGGGGTCTGGGTGCTCTGGGAGGGGGTCTG